AAGTTCTGGGCTATCTCATCACATCCTTACCCCCCTCACACTCCTGCCCTGGGGAACCACATCCTTGGGGCCTGCTGGTGGGGACAAGAACCTCACCTCTTCCCCTTGGAGGCTGTGAGACCTTCCCCCCCTCAAGATCTCCAAACCTCAGGGAGGTTTCCTGGGTCTCTGGCACACACCCCGGGCCAAAAGCTCACATCTAACTTTGTTTCTCCTGCCAGAGATCCAAGTTTCTTCCCAACCCCTCCCCCAAGACCTGTCAGCAAAGGGTGAATGTGACCTAAAGGCCCACTGATGTCCTTGCCCTAGGGTCCCCTAGGACCTTGGAGGGCACTGGCTGCCATGTGCAGTGAGGACTCACCTGGTAAGGTCCGGGTGGTGGTGTCTGCCCTTGCTCTGAGATCACCGCATGTCCCAGGCCCAAGGACCCCCAGAGGGACTGTGGCTGAGGCGGGAGGAGGCTCTCATCATAGGCAGAGAAATGGTCGAAATGAGGCGTCGGAGGAAGAACTGGCTGGGCCACCTGCCCTAGGCACCAGGCAGGCCACACCCACCAGCCATAGCTGCAGCGCCCGCCTACCCACATGCCCTGCCTGAGTCAGCCCCACACCCACACAGCAGCCCAACCTGGGAGAAGCCAGGGGAGGCAGCAGGTGCTGAGGCTGAAGTTCTGGTCCCATCTTTGTTTTCTTGTATTTGATGCTTCCCATCATAAGCCTTAGTTTCCGCAACTGGGAAATGGGAATTATAATACCTACTTCCCACGGATGCTGTGAAGAGTCAAAGAGATCATGCTGGTGAGAGGCCATGTGCTCTGCCCTGAGCCATGGGACGAAAGGCCACAGCTGAGCACTGGCCTGGTTGATCCAAAGGTGGTCAGCCCCAAGACTGAGTATCTGTCCTTCAAAGTCTGGGATCTGACCTTTCCAAAGACAAAGGAAATCCCCCATTCAAAGCTTACAACCAGATATTATGCACTTCAGACCTTAGGGCCAGACAACCTCACCCCTTTCTGGCTATGTGACCTTGAGCAAGTCATTCCTCCTGTTTTCCACCCATGAAATGTGCATAATAAATCCACCTTGCAGAATTATTTGAGAAAACCCATGGAAAGGACTTGAACAAGGCCCAGGGCACAGAAAGAACTCAATAAACAGTAACAGCTATTAATTCTTATTGATTTTGTCATCCCAGTCCATTCTGGCAACCACCCAGGCCACCTGCTCCAGGCCAGACCATAGGGAAGACTGTGCCCCCCTCAACCCCACCCAGGCTGCAGCTGTGAAGGGGGTGGAGCAAGGCTGGCATGGGCCTGCCTGTCTCTTGACACTCAGGAATTGCACACCTGTTCCCTCTGGCAAAACAGGACTGGGAGGGAGCAGGAAGTCTTGCTGACAGGGATGGCACCCGTGACTGGTACAGCAGGGATTTCCCCAACTGTCATCTGGGGCAAGTCCTCCGGCTCTCATCACCACAACCAGCCCACCTGGAGAGAGGCAGGAGGCAGGCTCAGACTTCTGACCATGGGGCAGCGGGACCCATAGCCAGTAAGGGGCAGGAGACCTGGCTTTGGGGCCAAGAGGCTTTAGTGTGGGTGAAGTAGGGGCCGCTCTTGTAGTTTGACATCAAGGGGGCCCCAAAGTTCCCACAAACATTGCCTGAAACTCCTTCATGAAGGCCTGATCTTGGATCAATCATAGTCTTCCCTCTAATAATCAATTAATTGCCCCTTCCGACTCAGCCCCTTGTCCCTTTTAGTTTACTTCCCACTGCCTCAGAACCTTATGGGTGAGGCTGTTGCCAAATTTCGGTTTACATTTTGCCTGGTATTGGCACTTTTTCTCAAATGCCAGGCTGAAGCCACTCTAATAGACCCCTGTCCCCCACCCAGAGACACTCACTGGGCCCAGCAAGGAGTAAGGGGAGCCTCCTCTGCTGTGCGTAGAGCAGGGACCAGGTCACCGACAGAGTCAGAGCCACTACTCCCCACCCTCCTACCCCAGATGCAAGGAAACAGCAGCTCCTGCCACTTGAGCTGGTCTGCATTCAATCCCGTTTAATCCAACACACAGTGAGAGCCCACAGTAGGAGACAAGGCAGGGAAATAAGGGCTGGCATAGGATTCAGAACTGGGGAAAGCGGTCTCCACCCTCAAGAAACTGTGGACCACACAGGAGACAGGCTCAGGCAAGAACCATACCCCCACGAGGCAGGTCGAAAGGACAAAAAGGGCTCAGGTCACTGAGCAGGGAGGAAATCCCTCCCATAAGGAAGTTGGGGATGGGCTCAGGGAGAGGAGAGCATTTGGGCTGGACTTGGAAGGAAGAAGGACCGTCTACACAGGGAGAACACCAGGAGCAAGACTGGGAGGCAAGAGGTCCAGGCACTTTCAAGGAGTGGTGATGAGTGTGGGTGACGCACGACCTCGGTGGGGCACCAGACAGGAGCTGCACATCAGGCCCCAAGCTGCTGAGTCAGCCCTGACCCCTTAATCACAGAAGGCTGCACTGGCCCAGCCTCAAGGGGGAAGGGGCCCTGTTGGGGATGCTGTCACCAATGCTGTCACCCAGCTGAGCTGAGTCAGCACCCCACACCTAAGGCAACTCCTCCTCCAGTGGGAACCCCGGCTGCACTGGCTGGGGCTGCAGGGGACATGATTCCCACTGTTTGGGGCCCACATAGCACAGGGGAGCCAGGAGTCCTGACTTCTTCCACCAAGCCTGGAGCCCGCAGAACCCAGTATTGCACACTCAGCCTTGGGCACCACGTGGGTGACGTTTAGTGCTCTGCCACAGCAGCACCAGGGCCTGGGAGCCTGGAAGGACCGACAAACTGCCGTCCTCAAACCAGCTCCTCGTTCCTGGTAGCAGGCATGCGCCATGCGGTGCCCACCCTTATCAGTGACTTCAGTGCTTCTGTGACAGTGCATGGAACAAGCAGAACCTAAATAAAAAGAAAACAGTGACTGGAGAAACCTCCCAGATGGGCTGTGTGTGTGGAACAAAACAGACACTTCTCCAAAGAGGACATCCAGATGGCCACCAGACACATGAAACAATGCTCAGCGTCCCTCCTCATCAGGGAAATACAAATCAAAACCACACTGAGATACCACCTCACGTCGGTCAGAGTGGTGAAAATGAGCAAATCAGAAGACTCTAGATGCTGGCGAGGATGTGGAGAAACGGGCACCCTCCTACACTGGTGGTGGGAATGTAAACTGGTGCAGCCCCTCTGGAAAACAGTGTGGAGGTTCCTCACAAAATTAACAGTAGAACTCCCCTAGGCCACAGCAATAGCGCTGCTAGGAATTTACCCAAGGGATACAGGAGTGCTGATGCATAGGGGCAACAGTAGCCAAAACATGGAAAGAGCCTAAGTGTCCATCAACGGACGAATGGATCAAGAAGATGTGGTTCATCTATACGATGGAATACTACATGGCAATGAGAAACAATGAAATCTGGCCTTGTGTAGCAACATGGATAGAGCTCGAGGGTGTTATGCTGAGCAAAATAAGTCAGGCAGAGGACAGATACCATATGTTTTCACTTATAAGTGGAACAGGAGAAACTTAACAGAGGACCATGGGGGAGGGGAAGGGGAAAAAGATAGTTGGGGAGAGGGAAGAAAGCAAGCCATGAGAGACTCTTGAATACTGAGAACAAACTGAGAGCTGATGGGGAGAGGGGCAGAGAGGAAGGGGGATGGTGGGCATGGAGGAGGGCACCTGTTGGGAAGAGCACTGGGTGTTATATGGAAACCAACTTGACAATAAACTATAAAATTAAAACAAACAAACAAAAAAACAAAAAAACACAAAAGGGAAATGCGTCCCGGGGCCCAGGGGGGATGGGCAGCAAGAGGGAACAGGCAGTCTCTGGATATTCCTGCCCCAGTCCTGCCCCCAGAGGCCTGAATTTTAGGCAGCCCTTGGACATCTGCCGACATGCCCTACATGGCTCCCCACCTCACCAGACTGGGGTCAGTGTCTGTCTGCCCTGGACTATAAAACCCTCACAAAGGACATACCCAGGTGGGAATCAAGCACACCCTCACCTCCTCCCCACAACCCCCAAGCCCTGCAGACCTCAGGCCCTGTGGCAGGTGCACAAGCTCCCCTGAAGAAAGAGGGGGAAGAGAAGGGGTCTCTGTGGAGTGAGTGCCCACAGGGATGGGCCGAGCCCTTGACCTGCTCTAGGAAATGCTCCACTTAGTGCAGTGAAGAAGGAGGAAGGACTGAGAGCCGCACAGACCTCCATCAACAGCCTCGGGCCTGTGTACATCCACCCTGACAGCGGCCAGGACAGGCCCCGCCTACATCCTAGCAGGCCGCAGCTGTCCCTGGGCTAGGAGAGCTCAGCAGCCTCCCCATGGGGGATCCTGGCTTGTGGCTCATGCTGCCTCCAGGTGATGGAGGGAGGGACACGGGGACAGAGAGAGATAAAGAGACAGTGACAGATACAAAAGGGAAAGAACAGGCTAGTTGCACGTGTCCTTCTTTAAACAACGCAGGTTTACACAAAAGGTGATGATCATTCATTTTATAAAAGAACACCCACCAGATTCCTTACAGCTCCGAGTAAGTCTGAAAGGTGATCCAATTTGTGGAAAGTTGCAAATATCTGACATCTACATGACACCTTCAGAGGAAGGCCTACAGATAAAGCTAGGGCTCCCAGGCCCACAGGAAAAAGCAAAAAGCCCTCATATCTCCCTTCCCCAGGGATGGGCTAGCATGCCCCAGCACATCTCTGCCAGGTCGCCTGGCTCCGCAGTTAAGTTCCAGGCTTTGGAGAGTCAGTCTGCCTGGTGTCAGACCCAGGCAATGCTCTTTGCTGGTTGTGTAACCTTACTAACTGCTAACTGTCCCAGCCTCGGTAGTACACACACACACACACACACACACACACACACATACACACACACACACACACACCCCCACATAGAGCCAACTAGCTCTGCTAGCTCAGTGACTGGCACAAAGTTCACACTTGGTATGATATTTAGCTATTTATTTATTTATTTACTTGCTTACTTACTTGTATATTTGATGGATAACAGGATGGATGGAGGAGGAAGTACGTACCACTGCAGGGGAGCAAGACCATGGTCACAGCAAACAGAAGATCATTAAAAAAATTCCTGCCACGTGCTATTGAGACAGGTTCTGTCCTTTCATCTGAACAGCGAAAGAGCTAAAATTTTTGGAACTGTGATGTGTCACACAGAAGGAGGTAGTCCCTCTAGATAAACCTGACACCCCCAGAGCTGGGCCAGCTCCCCCCCTTCCTCTGAGGAATAAACGACATCACCCCCAGACCACTTTGTTCAGGGGAGGTATTAAGCACAATACAGAGACCGGCTTCGGCATTTTACATTGAAGGACATGTTTTGTTCGAAGAGGTGTTTTCCTGGGCCTCATTCACTTTTACTCTTAGTGATAGAAAATAAAATAAAATAGGGGCATTGCATATGTCCACATAAGGATATATCATTCATGATACTTAACAGAGTCTGTAAAAAGAGAGAGAGAGAGAGAGAGAGACAGCGAGAGAGAAAAATCCTTTCCTTTTAGGAGACTCACTTGGGGACAGTGAGGGTTGGGTGACCTTCTCTTCCCAGGTATTCAACAATGGTGCCCACAGCGTGTCCAGGACAGGGAGGAAAGTGCCTTGGCAGGCACAGACCAGGCCAGGCTGCTGAGGGCCTCCCAGCAGCAGCAGCGGCTTATCCTGAGGCCCAACAGTGAGTGTTATGAGAACCCTGTAGGGGGCCTTCATTTCTCCCCTAAAGCAGCAGGATCCTTGAAGACCTCAGCATCTTCTGGCTTGAGGGAACCAGCAAAGTGCCTCAGATGAACTTCCTGTGGCTGGACAGGGTGCCTTTCTCTTGTACTTGAGTCTCGTAAGAGGGGAACAAGGGCAAAATTCTTCCAGTTTCTTCCTGAAACTGAAGGGTAAAACATCATTACTGCCTTGCATGCAGCAAGCAGCAAGAAATACTTCTTTGTTGGCCTCACCGATCTCCAGCTAAAAGGAAACCCAGACATTTCCGGGCTTCCTGAGACACATGGATACATGCCATTTCCTCTTCCCTTACCCACCTAAGCAGTCTCATCCACTGTGGCAGTTCCTAAATTCTCTTCCTTCACCTTCACCTGACTTGCAGGGGCCTCACGAGAGCCCACTGCTTGCCTTTCTCAGCCTCCATTGCCCCCCTGCCCACATGGGAGGGAGAGCAGGTCTCCACAGAACAACACTGGGACCTGCCCCATGGTGGCTTCACATCACATCAGTCCGAAGACGGGATTTGGGGACCAGGCCCCACAGGGCACAGCGCATTGGGAACAGTGCCCAGGAAACCATGGTGACACTAGGCCTTAAATGGGGCTCTCATGTATGGACAGGAAGCTCCTGAAGGGGACCTAGCTGTCACCCCCATAGCCACCTCCAGGTTCCCAGCCACCTAGGCAGAATGACAGCCAAGAGGGAAAGCTATACATGTTCTCCTCCCACTGCCAGAGCCCTAGTCAGCCAAGGCCTCTGGTGGCCACCCTGGGTCTAATCCCTCTGGAAAACCAGCCTAAATTTATACCTCCCATTCAGAGGCCACTATTCAGGCCCCTCTGCTGGTGTCTAATACTAACATGTCAAAGGCATAAGGAATGTGGGATGATGGTCCATCATGACCACTCCAGCTGAAGTCTCCAGGTCTTGGTACTGACCCCAGGCCTGCATGGAGACTGACACTGGCCTGCCCCCAAACACAGTCTAATGCCAATCGTCAACTGCTGAAGGATGATCTCTTGGGAACCCAGGCATAAAAGCCGGGCTTCGTGGGGATACAGGCCAGATCTCGTTGAGACACAATCTTCTGGCTGGCCTCAGAGACTGCTTGGCCCAGTTCCAGCTCAAAGGCTCTCAAAGGAGGCATGGGGCTCCCAGTGCCCACTTCCCACAGTCCTGATGCCAAGACTCCCTCACGTGCCCTTCCTAGTTCAGCTAGTAACCCCTTTTCTTCCCTGGCCTTTCTCTCATGCATTCCTTTACCCTTTCCAATCACACACATACTTTGTGGGTGGGAGAGTTCCTTGTTATCTGAATTATGTGACTATTCATTACTGAAGTGTCCACTGTTACAAGGTTGTACAGGAAAGCAAAATCCTTGGGAAATATTCACTAATTAATTATAAAAGTGAAATCAGGGAACCTTGAACCATCTCTGGCCCCAACCCCAAGTAACATGACTATGTGTGTCCCTGCCACTTTGCCAATATAAAATCACAGTGAATGTGTAATGTTAGAAGCAGCCAACAATGTCACGCAAACAAAATGCAAATCAACTGCAAAGTGAAACCGCAAGTATAAAAGATGTGGGGTTTCACGAAATCAGTAAGAGTGATGTTGGAAAACTGCTCAAATTAAAGACAAAGCCATCTTTGAATGGCTCTGTGGCAAATTTAGACCAGGGTTAAACAATGGAAGAGAGAATCAGTAAGAATTATGGCACGACACAGGAAATGCTTCCAATGAAACTCATGGGAAAATTACAAGATTGCAGGAGGCTCTTGGGAAAACTGATTACACCCTTAAGTAGTTTTCCAAAAGTAAGCTTCTTGGTAAAACAGATCTCTACTTCCACCTCTGATGGAGCACTGAGCACTAGGCTAGCCACCCTGCTGTAAACAACCATAAAACAGGACAAAATACTTGCAATAAATGTTTCCAGGCATAGGACACAGACTGGAAACTGTGATTGTTGAGAGAAGTGAAACTGACAAAGTGAGCCCCATGACTGCCCTGATGCTTTGCTTGGGGACAGTTTCTCTGAGCATGGTGGGGTACACTGGAGTCCAAGCAGAGTATGGTGGTGCCTCTGAGCTAAGAAAGAAGAGATCAGGGTTTGGAGCAGCCAAAGCAGCTAGCATCTGTGGGACAGAGTACCGGAGAAGAGAAAGAAGGGAGCTGTCGGGGTGGAGGTCCAGAAGTCTCTGGGATGGGTTGCTGGATCATACTTGCACAGTGTGAGACCACAAAGGCTCACCAGACAGTGGCTACCATGGGGCTGAAAGTGGGACAAAAACACGAGAAGCTGAGCGACACTGAGTGGAGAGATTCTCAGAGTGGAGAGACCTCGTTAACACTTTTTTTTTCTACTCCGAGGATCAAGCTAAAATACCAGAAATGCCCTTTTTACTCTACATGCCCTAGAGTAAGGTCTACTCAAGACCCACCCTAACAAAGCCTAAAACCAAGCCCTGGAAACAGCTGGGAGGTTGAGTCCCACAATTTTGATGGGATTGGCAAATAACTTGACATTTCACATATCTACCATAATAAAGTTTAAAACTAAGCGTACAGAAGTCAGGGTGATTCATCATCAATAATTGAACTGCCACTTAAAACAAAAATTCAATCCAGAGTCTCTACAGCATATTATCCACAATCCCCAGTGTACAATTAAAAGTTACTAGACATGCTAGGAAAAAAGGAAATGTGACTCATAGTAAGGGGGAAGAAAAAGCAGTCAATAGAAACTGACTCCAAGATGGCCCCCATGTTGGAGTTAGCAGGCAGAGAATTTAAATCAGCTCTTATGAATATACGTTAAAAAGAAGGAAAAGAAACAAAGCAAAATATGGTCTTGATTAGAGGACACTAGAGAATCTCAGGAAAGAAATGAAAACTATAAAACAGGGATGCCTGGGTGGCTTAGTCGGTTAAGTGTCCGACTTTCGCTTAGGTCATGATCTCGCAGTTCGTGGGTTCGAGCCCCGCGTCGGGCTCTGTGCTGACTGCCAGCTCAGAGCCTGGAGCCTGTTTCAGTCTGTGACTCCCTCTCTCTCTGACCCTCCCCTGCTCACGCTGTCTCTCTCTCTCTCTCTCTCTCTCCTAGAAATAAATAAAATTATTTAAAAAAAAAAAAAAAGAAAACTATAAAACAAATAACCAAATAGAAATTTAAAAATGAATAGCACAATGCTGGAAATGTAACAGTCACTGGAAGAGCTTAATACCAGTCTAGAGATGGCTGGGGATAGGATCAGTAAATTTGAAGACAGATCAATAAAAATTACTAAATTTGAGAAACAGAGAGAAAAAAATTGAGGAAAACATGACCAAAATCTCAGAAACCTATGGGGCAATATCAAGTAATCCAAAATGTAACTGGGGTCCCCAAAAAAGAAGATAGAGAGAATGAAGCAAAATATATATAGCTTCCCAATTTGATAAAACACTGACATACAGATTCAAGAATCTCAGGCAAACGCCAAACAGGATAAAACCAAAGAAAACCAAACCTGAGCACATCGTAGTCAAACTGCTGAAAACCAAAAATGAAGAGAATATTTTGAAAGCAGCCAAAGAAAAAAAGACAAATTACATATAGTAATGCAAATTATGGGCTACTTTCCATCAGAAACAGTGGAGGCCAGTGGAGGAAAATCGAGTTGGAATTTTTTTTTAAAAGGAGAGAAAAAAAATATTTAACCCAGAATTCTTTACTCAATGAAAATATTTTTCAAACACCAGAAAGAAATTGACATTTTGACTACTTCACATCCATTCAGATGGCAAGAACAACCAACACACCACCACAAAAACCTAGAAAATAACAGTTGTTGGTGAGGATGTGGAGCCCTCATGTATTGCTGGTGGGAATGTATCATAATGCAGCTACTATAGAACACTGTCTGGCATTCCTTAAGAAGCTAAACACAGAATTACCATACGACCCAGCAATTTAATTCCAAAAGAACTGAAGCAGGGCATCAAACAAAATCTTGGACACCAATGTTCACAGCATTATTCACAATAGCCAAAAAGGTGGAAACGATCCTAATGTCAATCAACAGATGAATGGATAAATAAAATATGGCATATACATAAAATGAAATATTATTGAGACAGAAGTAGAATAGAGACAGAAGGAAAAGTAGGAGTGATTATTCAATAGGTACAGAGTTTCTGTTTGAAATAATGAAAAGATTTTGGAAAGAGTGGTGAAGTTTGCACAACATTGTGGATATAATTAACACCAATGAGTTGAACATTTAAAAATGGCTAAAATGGTCACTTTCTGTTACATATATTTCACAACGTTTTTCAAAAATATAAAAACAGAATTAGTGCAAAATTATAATCATAACTCAAAATGTATTCAATAAAAACTAGGTCTGCTTCATTCTTAAGTAAATGTCCTCAATTTAGACCTTTAAGTTAATGTGTACTGCTAAATATTTCCCATTAACTGTTAAAGAACTTTTTTTCTGGCAGTGATTTTCTACAGGGCATTTCTGTTCAAGGTATACCCTTTATCCTTCCCGTTCTTCCTTCCTCTGCCTTCCTGTATGTGTCCACACAAGGTGAGTATTGCCTGTACGTGCTTTTGTCTGTAAGCCTCATAGAGCTGAATGTAGACACTTGGTATGAGGAACAGGAAGAGGAGACAGGGCAGCCCACGACGAGGCCATCCATCCAAATGGCTGTATATGGGATAAGCTGCTTTCTCTGGGGCACTTGAGGACAGGTGCCTGGGCCAGGATGCTGGCAGAGCTGGTGCGCATGGGCATGAGCCCCAGTCAGCTGTGCAGGAATGTGTGCAAGTGGTTGACCCTTGGGGCTATTCCAGCATCCAGGTTGAGGGGTGAAGAAGGCCTGCAAGGAGAAAGGAATCCCAAGGCTTCACCTGCCTGTCATCTATGCTACAGCACCCTTCCCTCACACCTCACCTCTGCCTGACCGCAGAGAGAAGCTCAGGGTGCGCTTGATGCCCTCACAGTTGCCTGGGTCTTCATTGATGATACCCACATTGGTGTTCCAGGTGGTCCAGTTGACCTCGTCTACCCTGCAGGGCAAGGAGACAAGGGAGCTGGGAGCTAATGGCCTAAAGGCCGTGCCTATCTTCCCAGTTGAGGGCTTGGTGCCATGGGCCAATCCCAAGAAGCCCATAGACCAGGACGAGGAGACATAGAAGGGCCTGCTTTTTGGACACCACCCCCAAAGCTGTATTCTCTGACCATATCATGGGGCCCAAGGACTTTAAATATTGGATTCTTGGTTCCGACTCTGATCACTGGATGACCCCTTTTGCACACCTCATTTTCCAGTTGGTCTCCTATGCCCACAGCTCAGCCTTGGGGTGGCTCTGTACCTAACTACAGCTGGCCTTGGGAGAGTCCCCCATGCACATGAGTGGTCCCAAGAGGCCCTGAGGCAGGCTTCTGTATCCACAGCTGGCTCTGGGTGAGTCACCTATGCCCACAAAGCTCCAGAATGGCCTCTGTACCCATAGCTGGCTCTGCGTAGATCCCTGATATCTAGCTAAGCCCCTGAGCTCCCTAAGTTTGATTCCTGCCTGAGCATTACCTGAAACACCACCTGTAGTCATCCTTGCCATCAGGCGTGTACCCCACCTGCAACAGCTTGCCCGAGCGGAAGGCCTTCCTCATACACTTAAGGAAGCTCTTCTCCGTGTCCAGGATGGTGATGGCTCTCTGTGGGAAGACACAAAGGGCTGAGGGGCTTATCCAGGGGCTGGCTTCCAAGACCAGCCTCTCCAGAGTTTCTCCCAGTACCCCCAAGCTGGACCTCTAGTGTTTTCCATACCAGGCTTGTTTCCACAGCCCAACAGGTACACACTCCAAGCTCAGCCTGTCAGGTGGGGTCAGGGCTGGGCCTCCCATGAGTGATGTAGAGTGTCCCGCCCCAGACTTCCCTACTCACAAGGGGACAGACAGTGTAGTAAAGAACAGGGCCTCGAGATGAGACTGCTTGACTTGAAGCCTAACTGTGCTACTTACTACAGACAGTCCCCAACTTACGATGGTTCAACTTGATAATTTTCAACTTTACGATGGTGCAAAAGCAATTTGCGTTCAGTAGAAACCATACTTGGAGTTTTGAACGTGCATCTTTTCTCAGGCTAGCAATAATGGTAATATCCTCTCTCGTTGATGCCGGGAGTTCCCACTCAGCAATGGGATCACAGAGACTAACAACCAGGACACTTATAATCACTCTGTACCCATACAACCATTCTGTTTCTCACTTTTATTACAGTAGTCAATAAATTTCACGAGATCTCTAACACCTTATTATAAAATGGGCTTTGTGTTAGATGGTTTTGACCAACTGTAGGCTAATGTTAAGTGTTCTAAGCACATTTATGGTAGGCTGGGCTAAGCTGTGATGTTCAGTAGGTTAGGTGTATTAAGTTCATGTTCAAATTAAGTGGATTTATTGGGATGTAACCCCACTGTAAGTTGAAGAAGATCTGTAGTTACCCTGGACACAGATGCCTAACTTCTCAATGCCTCAGTGCCTTTATACAAAAATGGGGATATGTAATGGTAGCCACATGAAAGCATTGCTTTGAGGATTAACTGAGAGCATATAAAACACCTAGAACAGTACCTGGTATGGAGTCAGTGCTACTTAATAATTAGAATTATTTGTTTTTAGGTGGGAAGGCAGATTACAGACCAGGTGGCTCAAAAATGTACCTGTCAGGGTCAACCCGATTTTAACTGCTCCCCCAAGTCTGGTCTCTGGTGCCCACCCTAGACCAAGCTCTTGTGAGGTGGACATTCCATGGGGCCAAGCCTTCCATCTCCTCTCCTGGGCACTGTCCAGTCACAGGAAACACAGTGTCTGTGAATACCAGCTGATGATGTGTAGCAGGGCAACCCCACAGGAAGGGGCAGAAAGGAGCCAGCTGGGGAAGATCCCCCGGGCCTGGTTGGGCTCTCTGCCCTTCCTCAAGCCCCGCAGGGGCACATATGCCCAGCTGGGTTAAGCAGCAACAGAGCAGCCAATGCCCTCCTGCTGTGCACACCACACCCACCGACCCACCTGTAGCTTCCAGATGTTCTTGCTCTCCTGCGCAATCTTGTTGACAGTCTCACCCATGAGGGCAATGAGCATGTTGAGCAGGAGGATATAGGTGAGAATCACATAGGCCAGCAACAAAATGATGAAGACGGCCTTGAAGTCATAGTTCTCAGTGAACTCCAGGTCGCCCATACCAATGGTGAACTTGAAGAGCTCCAGACACGTGGAGTACAGGCTGTTGTAGGAGCTGTCAGGTGGCCGGCAGCCAGGCCCTCGCCACCTGTGCAATGTAGACTCAGCCGGCACCGAGTTATTCTTCCCGTCCTCAATCAGTGTCACCACCGCTACAGGGCAGGGGCAGGGACAGGTGCAGCTGGATGGAAGCCAAGATAGATCTCCCAACAGACACACCACATCTCCTGGGATGGGTCTGCAGCAAGAATGCTGCTCAGCCATATGGCACTTTTGTGTGAATTTAAAGAAAAACAACCCTCTTCTTCAGAACTATCAGCAAACTGTCATAGTACAGTTGACCCTTGAACAACACTGGTTTGAACTGCGAGTCCACTTGTACACAGATATTTTTCCGATCAATTCAGCATAATATGTAAATGTCTTTTCTGTATCATTTCCTTAATAACATTTTTTTCTCTAGCTTACTTCATTATGGAATACAGTATATAATCCATATAACATACAAAGTATGTGTTAATCAACTGCTTGTTATTGGTAAGGCTTCTGGTCAACAGTAGGCTACTAGTAGTTAAGTTTTGGGGGAGTCAAAAATTATTTGCAGATTTTTGACTGTGCAGGGAATTGGTGCTCCTAATCCCCATTTTGTTCAGGGGTCAACTGTATACTGTTTTGTTACAGTAAGAACTTTATCATCATCTGCTAGGGGAAAAAAAAGTGTTTAAAACTATGCAAATGTACATATACAATGTGAATCTAGCTGCCTTTGGGCAGTGCACAACCTGCCTAAATTTACGTATCAGTCCTGGATCCGCACCCAGCTTCTCAGTCACACTTGTCTTCCTGTGCCCCTTGGGGGTGGGGGCAAAGCCAGCCCCTTCCAGAATGATGGGGACTAAGCAGCTCAGAGCAGAATGGTCTCTTGCTGCATTCTACACTTTTCTTTTCGAAATGTAGTCTGGAGCCTGAGAGCTTCTGTAGTAGTTGTGCCCATGGTTACTGCACATTCGGTATCCATTAACCCCATTGGCCAAGTCCCTTCCTGTGGGTACCGACAGTCCAGGACCTTCAGACTGGGTGTCAGAGCCCACACACATCCCTATCAATCAAAGCTCCTAGGCAAAGCTGTCCATAACTCTGAGACAGATTCCAAACCAGGCTGTGGGGTGGGGGAAGGAGAGGGTATACATGTGAACCATGTAATTGCAGAACTCAGATGAGGATCAAAGTAGAGCCAGGTGCCCAGAAATCCTGTGGATGTGTCAGGAGGGCACAGGAGCCAGCTTGAAGAGGCCCTCAAAGACGATTTCTCAGACCATCTCAGCATCAAGATAAATGGTAATAGTAAGATTATGACCCCCTTAACAAAGTGAGAATCCATGAAAAATGAAACAAAAACAGAAAAGAATCTATGAGGCCGCACTGATGGAAATAATAAACGCATGTAGGAGAATGGAAAGCTCTTCCCTATAATAAAATGCCAGTGAATAAATGTGGAAGGAATGACAGAGTTAGAAAATCATCATTCGGCAGCCATTAGGATTAAGTGATTCAGGTGAGAATCATCCACAGATGCTAAAATTACCGGTTGAAAGTTTGATGAGAAACAGGATATTTACCTAGTCTGAAAGCATCTCCTCACAAATTACTTATCACACCCATCAAAACCAAGTAATTAAAGTTAACATCACCAGACACGGTCTAAACAAACATTATGGGAACCCTGATCCAGTGAGCTGGGGAAGACATACATTACTTCCTCCATAGGCTCACCAAAAATGCACACCTGAATCTAAGTGTGAGGAAACATCAGGCAAGCCCAAATTGAGAGACATTGTAAAAACTAGCCCTTACTCATTAAAATGCTAAGGTCAAAAAAAAAAAGAGAGACTGAGGAAGCACTCCAGATTAAAGGAAACTACTAAAAAGGCATGACAACTGAATGTAATGCATGTCCTGGGATTTTTATTTCTATAAAAGACATTATTAGGACAATTGGTGAAATTTGAATAAGGCTGGTAGATTAGTACTGTATTGGTGTTTATTTCCTTATTTTGATCATTATGTGTTGTTTATGTAAGAAAATATCCTTGTTTTTAGGAAATGCAGGCTTTATCCAGTGGTAAAGGGTTGATCACGTCTGTAGCTTACTCTTTTTTTTTTTAAGTGTGGTGTGATGTGGTGTGTGTGTGTGTAAAAGGGAGAGAGAGTGATTTCAAAATGCGGTAAAATTTGGGGATGATGAGTAATATGTACAGAAAAGTTATTTGTACTATTCTTGCAACTTTTCTGAAAATCTGAAATAATGTCAAAATAAAAGATCTTTTAAAAAAAACCAAAAACTAAAACAAAACAAAATAAAATAAAAACAAAATAAAAACTAAGCCAAAATGCAGCTATACTGTAGGCAAGCAGCACTTCATACCTCTAAAAATGTTTACACTGTTTATGAATCACCAGGTTCTCCTGTTCATTTCTGTGTGTTCTTTATCCATCCACTCTGTCACCTGCAGATACACACCCCAGTGGGCCTCTCCCCACCCAGCCCCTGCAGAGTCCTCAGGAAGCTGAGGGTAGCAGGAGCTCTGCCCGCCACCAGCCCTGACCAAGCCCATTACCTGTGGAAAACCCGAACAAGAAAACAAGGTAGACAAACATGAAGCGACACAGGTCTCTCAGGATCATCTGCAGGAGAGAGCAGGCGTGTCAGAACCAAGTCCAGTCCCAGGCTAGGCCAAGGGAAAGGTCAGGACTATGTCAGCCTCGGATTAATCCTGAGCCTAAGTAGAACTGGAGAACATGCAGGAGGGTCTGGTTTGGTGGTTTTCAGCTCCAATGTCATAAGGAAGTCATCCACAGCTCCCCCGACCATGGCCTCTGTTCTGGTGGGAGAGCAGGGCCTGGTATGTTGGGGGAGTCAACTTTTAGGGGAGCCCCCAAACCCAGGTCAAGACCAGATTGCCTGAATCTTGAGTAATTTCTGGGAAAGTGGGTACGAAGCTAAACCAGCAACTCCCCAGACATTACAGATGATAGACAGAGTTTGTAGGCCATGTCCCATGTACCCATGAGGTAAACAGGCTCTATGGAGAACCTACTTGGCACTGGCACCCACCTTCTCAATCATAACAGCATAGATGCCCATCTGCTGGAAGCCGCGGGTGTAGTAGAGCATGTTGGTCCAGCCCAGGGCCAGGGAGAACACCATGGAGGCCACGTACTCCTTGTAATGGCAGAAGTACAGCACCACGGTCCCCAGCATGAACAGTGACTGCACAAAGCTGAGGGTGGAGGGATAGGAAGCTCTGTCTAAGAGCACCCAGGGGGCCAGGCACCCCCTCAGAAGCACAGACAACAGGCTGCTGTGGGAGCTAGGGTTGACTGTCCTGCCTCCTTTCACCCATGGTTCTCAGTGGGAGTAACAGCATCCCCAAGGGGGAAAAAGTTGGTTGGAGGGGGTGCAAAATCTTATTCTCTTTTTATAGAAAGCACAAATAGAAATACAATACATAGACAACTATACAGTATATTTGTGATATTAGATTTCATGGGGGGGCAATTAGGAAAAAATGCCTCAAAAGGCAATACTGAAAGAAGTCTGGGAAACATTGCTTTAGCAGTGAGGAGGTACAGGCCATGATCTCCTGACACATTACAGGCGGAGTCCGCTGGTCATACCCTCAGACTCAGGAGCAGAGCCAGGGAAGATGTTCCTCAGCAACTTGGGCTGGTGGGGCTCCCCACGTGTGATCCATGGATAAGGTGTGTAAATCTGATGATCCTATGACAGAATCTGCTCAGTGGTCCATTCTTTACATATTAATCCCAGGTCTCCTTGTTCACCACAGCCTTCTCTCGAAAGTATCCCCAACTACATTTATACTGTAGACCACACTGGCCACCTCATTTCCCATTTCTGTGAAAGAACCCAGCAAAAAAACACCACTGTGCTGATGTGAGTCTACTGAAAACTGATGTCAATAAACCGGCTCTTCAATTGGAATTCTGCTGCAAAGGAAAACTATCCCTCTGTATTTGCAGAACCATGGCCAAAATAAGAACTGACACCAGTTAAAATAGGTAAGAGATACCTTGGATGGAAAATGGAGGCCCCACATATGCATTTCGGAAGCAGCAGACAAATAGAAACTGACTTAGCAGACCCAAGAAAACCAAATCCAAATGTGTAGTGGGGAAAGCTGAGAATCAGCTCCTTTAACCAAGGAGCCTCAAAAGGGTTAGAGACCTCCAGGAAGGAGATGAAGACACCTAAAATAAGGAAGAGTGGAGGTTTTGTCTCTGAAGAAGATAAAGCAGAGGATCTTTGGACCCACTTTCATCAAACAACAGTGAAAGCATTGGTATTTTACCAACAGCAGGAGATTACGTGATTTTTATATAACACAGGTTACAGAAAGCCCTCTTCTCCACTCAGTTCTCAGAAAGTTGGCAGCCAGACTTCTTTCCTCCAGGCAGAAGACTGAAGAGATGCTATCAACTAACTTTGGATATTTGCCAATAAATAGCTTAACTAGATTAGTGTATAGTCAAACTCAAAAAACTGATAAGCCCCATTTATACATTAAGAGCTCCCCACCAGCTTTTCAGTCCTCCACTCTTACTCATGAGCAGATATAAAAAATTTCCAGATATCTTCTAATATGAAAGAGCACAACAAGAAAATGGGAAACAACAACTTGGAAAAAATAAAACCCATGCAAAAAGAAGAAAATTTATTTTATTTTATTTTAAAACTTTATTTGCACAGCCTTAGGAAGACAAAAGAAAATATTGTATCAGCGGAACAAGAATAGAGTGCAATTAAAAAGGAATAAACAGAATTTTTTAAAAGAGCATTTAGAAAGTAAAAACATGATATCAAAGGTAACAAACTCAATAGAAAGGTTGGAAATTAAAATTGATCTGAACCTCCCAGAAAGAAGAGCCAAAGATAAAGAGATGGAATACGAGTGAGAAAATATAAGAACTGGTCCAGGACTAGGTCAGGAGGTTCGATATACATATCATAGGAGTTCTAGAAGAGAGATCAAGAAATAATTCAAGAAAATATCCCAGAAATAAAGGACATAACTTTCAGATTGAAAGGGCCCACTGAGTGCCCAGAACATTGGATAAAAATAAATCCAATCAAGACATATCATTAAGTTTCAGAACACTAGGAACAAACAGAAGCTACTACCGATTTACAAAGAGAAAGGCCAAACTGGGTCTTAAAAGAGGATCCAGAATCAGAATAGTTTTGGACTTGTCATCTATAATGCTGGAAGCAAGGAAACAATGGAGAAATATCTTCAATTTTTTTAAGATTTTCATACCCAACCAAGCTATCAATCAAATGTGAAGGTATAGTAAAAATATTCTCAGGCATGCCAGATTTAAAATAAATTTTACTTCCCCCTTCCCTACTATGTGCCTTTTTTCTTTAGCTAAGGATGTTTTCCCCTCAAAAAAGGAATGAATCCGTAAAGAGGAAGGCATAGCATTCAGAAAATAAGAGATCCAAATCAGGAGAGAAGGGAAAGGGATCTCCAAGGTGCCAGTGAAGGGATGACACCTTGGATGCACATGTGGGAGAATGAGACTCAAGAACCAGGTACAATGAAAGTTGTCATCAGTGTGCCCTTCACTATCAGACAATCCTTTTCACCAAATGACAATACTGAAGGATGTGTTCAAATAAAAAAGGAGGAAAATCAAGAGAGAGACAGGAAGTCTAAAAGAAAGAAAGCAATGACCATCCCAAGGCTGGCAAAAAAGAGGAGTCCCAGGATGATGGCTAAGCAGCAGGTCCAGAAAGTAACCAGCCCAGTAAGAACGTGAGGACAGCACTCCTGGAGGAAATCTCTCAAGGGGAAAAAAAAAAAGGAGCAGGGATTCCAATCATATAATTCATGTGACTGACTTTGAGAAAAGTTGTACTGAGAGGCTTTGAGATTGTGGGACTAGTTAACAATGGGTACAAAGAAAACTAAACATGTGACAACAAGACAATTACAAATTTAAGAGAAACAAAAAAAAAAATAAGTGCAGTATATTATGAAGCTCAACTGTGAATACTACTTGTAGAGACATAAGAACGTAAATTACTCAATTCAGACTAAAACAAAAATTACTTCGAACCATCTTGGGAGGCTTGAGGAACAGAAGCAGAGGGGAAGGAAGTGTGAGGATGCTAAATCCTCATCCACCAGGTGAGGAAACATCAGAAGAAAGAGCCACAAGAATGAAAAGTGATTGTCCCTGGGAAGGAGGATTACAAGGTAGGAAGATTTAAGATGAGGAACTCATATACTGGCTATAAGCGTTTTAGTACTCTTCAGTGCTTCCCTATGTGCATGGGTAGCTTTGAAAAAGTAAAATAAAATACATTTCTAACCTGCCTACAGTGGGTCCTCCTAGGAATAGAATCGAGTGTATTGGCAAAATGCTATGTAGGAGAACGTTGCTTCTCTTAGTAAAGCAAACCAGCATTGCACTAACCCTGCAGACCCTGCCCTGTGGGGTTAAGGTACAAGTATCTGAAGATTACGGTAAACAGATGGGGACAAGCTTGCTACAATAGGATAAGAAATCAACTCCTTACATTTGCCAGGAATTAAGAGGCCTCAGGAATGAAGGAAACTCAGGGATCAGATTTAAGTCCTTTATAACAATCCCAGAAGAACCCATTCCCATCTGAAAACCCCCTTTGTGTATCCTGGGTCCTCCAAGGAAACTTCATAAGGTTCCAGCTTATTTGGAGGGGGGGTCCTGGTGATATCCACATTGTTTTACAACTATGGTTTTTGCTAATCTCTCTCCCCCTAAAGCAATGATTCTTGATCTGGGGTGATTTTGTGCCCCCCCAAGTCAGGGGCATTTTGGCAATCTGGATATATTTTTGGTCATCAAGAATGGGGGACAGAGAGAGGGCTACTGGCAGCTAGCAGGCAGAGGCCAGGGATGCTGCTAAACACTCTACAATGCATAGGACAGTCCACACAGCAAAGAATCAACCAGTCCAAAATGTCCATGGTGCCAGTGCTGAGAAACACTGCCCCAAGGATTGGAAACTCCTTGAAGACAGGAAACATATCTATTTCATGTCAGTATTCCAATGCCAACTCAGTGACTGCCAGATGGTTGGACAAATGGATGGAAAAAATGAACAAGGGTATTCAGACTGTAACTCAGACTATAAGCCACATGAGCCCATGTATGTCATTCCCTAGCACGTGGTGCATATCTGACATTGAGTGGAGTTTCGATATTCATTCAAACATGTATCGAGAGCCTCTGTTATTCATTCAACACATTTGTGAGGTCCTACTATGTTCCGGGCCCAGCATAGGTGAGAGGATGGGTGAGAACTGATGGCTATAACCTTAGGACTGGGCCAAAAGATACTGTCTGCTATTGAGTCATAAGAGTCAAAGCATCACTTACAAAAGCATCTCACTGTAGCTGTCCACAAACAAGGTCTTCAGTGATGGCCGACGCTGCAGGAAATACTGAATCTGCAAATAAATAGACAGAGTAAGATCCCAGGAGAGGTTAAATGGTGAGCACTTGCAATGCTCCTATACAGAACAAATGCATCAAAGCAGAGGTTCTGAAGAGGGTAGTGAGGGTCAGGTTAACAGGGTAACATTATGTGACTCAGGAGAGATTTTTTAAAATAGAGAGTGGAATTACGAGCTCTATGTAGAAATAAAGACAGGAAGGAAAATCACCAAAATAATATTAATGGCTCTGTTTGAATGATGACATTGAGTGATTTTTTCTTCTTTCTCATTTGTACACATTTCCCTAATTTTAAGAACTATGCATTATAGTAAAAAGTGTTTAATCAGCCTCCACTGAACTAAGTCACCAGATCAGCCAGCGCTCTCCACTCCCTGGAAACATTCTGACTGATGCCCACAGCGAGTGCTGGTGGCTAGGAGTCCCTCCACGACACCCACACTCTACTCCCTCCCACAGTCAATCCTGGTCATCAAGCCTGCACTTGCTACTGTGGCTTTGTATTTTACTGTAATATAAAAATTGAGTCCATTGAGGGGCGCCTGGGTGGCTTAGTCAGTTAAGCGTCCGACTTTCGCTTAGGTCATGATCTCGCGGTTCGTGGGTTCGGGCCCCGCGTCGGGCTCTGTGCTGACTGCCAGCTCAGAGCCTGGAGCCAATTTCAGAGTCTGTATCTCCCTCTCTTTCTGACCCTCCCCTGCTCACACTGTCTCTCTCTTTCCTAGAAATAAATTTAAAAAATATTTTAAAAAAATTGAGTCCATTGATTTGGAAAGATTCCTTAAAGTGAAGTCAATAAAAAAATAATCGAGTGTAGCTTAGATCAAAAAGATTAAGGGGGGGAAACCACAATAATCTCCAATTGTTTGTACATGCAACCATGGTTCCAATTTCAAAGAAAAGACTGTTCATATATTAGAAGAATGGCCAAGGAATGCACATGTATGAGTTTTCAGGTAAAATAAAATGGTCCCAGTATGTGTGCAGATTTTCTCTGTTGTTTTGAGCTTTAACAGACGGTTTTGAGGGTCCTTATATGCAGGGTTTTTTTTTTTATAAATGTGGTGCAGTACTGTAAATGTCTTTTCTCTTTCTTATGGTTTTCTTACTTATTTTCTCTTACTTTACTGTAAGAATCTAGTGTGAAATACATATATCAGACAAAATACATGTTAATAGACTGTTCATGTTATCGATAAGGCTTCCAGTCAACAATAGGCTACTGGTAGTTAAATTTGGGGGGAGTCAAATGTTATAAGCAGATTTGCGGTTGTGTGAGAAGCTGGAGCTCCTAACCCTGTGGTGTTCAAGGGTCAACTGTACATTCGGTGGAGAGTCCTGATTGTCTTCGAACATGACTGCCCTGGGTCGCGGAAACCACTGGGCATGAATGCCTCATCTTCACCTGGGCATCTCTCCCATGAATTGAAGAGCGAGTGAGCAACGAGTGAAGTCTCTTAGCTTTTTGTTTCGGTGATAATGGAAACTCACAGTGTGGGAAGGAATGCTTACCCCTCGGAAAAAAAAGTAGACTCCTCCTGATACAGAAAGAATCTCACCAGTGACTCGGAAATAGTCCCCAACGGTGTGTTTCAGCTTATAGGGAGGCTGGAAGGTGCAGAGAAGTCAGTGATTGGATTCACTCATTCATTCACTCAACAAACATATACCAAGCCCTGTGATTAAGAGTCAGCCCCTGGGGGGCGTGTGGGTGGCTCATCAGTTAAGTGCTTGACTTCAGCTCAGGTCATGATATCACACTTAATGAGCTCAAGCCCCACATCCAGCTCTCTGCTGTCAGCACAGAACCTGCTTCAGATCTTCTGTCTCCTTCTCTCTCTCTCTGCCCCTCCCCCACTCACACACTCACTTTATCAAAAAAAAAAAAAAAAAAAAAAAAAAAAAAAAAAAAAAAAAAAAAAAAAAAGCCAGGCTGCCCAAGAGGCCCAGCCTCCATCAGGAGAGAGGCATAATTAAAGACAGTGCATTACTGGGGACACCTGCAAGGAGGCAAGTTGATTTCCAAAGTGGCAGCTTTTAGATGCCAAGCAGAGCATCCTTATAGTGCTGTGCTCCTTCACAGACAAGGTCCCAGCCCGGAGCACCGCTGGAAGGAGAGTGATAGCATAGGTAGAGACACTCTTAGAGACACTAATGCCATATGCTTCCTGCTGCTCCCACAGCCTATGGTGAACCCCTCCATCGAGGTTCCCATGGCTGGTGGAAGGTGGGATGTCCCACACACATGTGTGTCATCCTTGTGTCTCAGGCAGTTTCCTGAGGTGGGTTTCCTTTCTGTTTGACGTCAGTGTTTTGTAAACACTGCCTCACTAGCTTGTCTTATTAGCACCTTTCTCTTTTCTCACAAAATGAAATCATTAAATGGCCTTACTAGGTGGATAGAAGTCAGGTTTCACCTAACTAGGAAGTGGAGTTTTAAATCCAATTTATAAGCAAGGTGCCTTGGCTACAAAGTCAGCAAATTAAGTGCTTGGGTATTGAATGGAAAGGATTCAAATTAGTAACTCAAAGGAGTCCATGGCTCCTGGTAGAGAAAGAAGTTTGGTCTCAAGCTGATTTGATGCATGGCTCAGGGCCTGGCACAGAATTGCTCAAAAGTAGGGAACAAACAATGAGTGAGTGAGTGAGTGAACACAGTGGGCAGGCCAGTGGGATGGCAACAGACGCAGGGCTCATGCCAGCCCATGACCCTACAGACAGCTGCTGCCTCTGTAGGGAAGAGATGCCTCTGGGACCCTAGTTCCTGCATCTTTTCTAAACTGTTGTCCCTCCTCTGCCATCAGGGACCTCATAGACCACACACTCAGCCTCAGAACCAGGAGGCACAGGAGGGACTGAGAAGGGGGATGGGAGTACTGCCAGGACAGCCTGAGAGATGGAGGGCTGCACGCGGGGACGTGAGGAGCTCCGGGTGATCCTTCCATCTCTCCAGTGAGCTGGGAAGGAGTCTGGGGCCTGGCCCGGGCCTGGGTCTCGGGGGTCTCATAGAAATGCCCATCCCTGTCCCCAGTCCCTGTCCCGGGGCTGAGCCTTAGGCCGCACCAAGCCATCCACAGGCCTGTAGTAGGCTGCTGTGGTGAAGATGATCATATACAAGCAGTAGACGAAGAAGTTGAAGTAGAAGATGCGCTTGACAAATCTGTCCCACTTGTCCTGCAGGAGTCGGTTCAGCGGTTCCACCAAAAGCATGTCGTGGCGATTCTAAGGGGAGCAGAGAGAGGTGAGGCTCAGTCCCCAGCCAGGAACCATAAAGTCTCATCTCCAAGAGATCTCTATTAACGTTCCAGTATTCCTAAGATGGATGTGGCGAAATCAGGTGATCCTAACCTTTGCAGGTCATCGAGCCCAACCCCCAGCCCCAAGCTCCAGCTCCCCCAATAAGGTCCCTGTTCAATGTTTTTTTTAGTGCCTTTGGGATGGGAAGCTCCTTGCTGCCTCAAACAGCCTGGGGAGACACGTTAACTGCCAGACGGTCTATTCTCTGGAGTAAAGTTGGTCTTCCTTCCCTACTTTCCACCAGTTGTCCCAGTTCTGCACTCAGGGACCCCAGGATTGCAGTTCTGCCTGAGAGAGCCTTCAGAGACATGAAAATGGCAGCATGGCCCCAGAGCCATCTCTTCTCTAGGCCAAACACCTCACCCTTTTTGAAGCCAGCCCTCTGAGAACACTCGCATCCAGGATTCTGAATCCAACGACCTGATCCAGCGTGGCAGCCCAGGCGGAGTCTGGCAGGGCATAGCAAAGCAGTCTAGACCTTTCTCTCCCCTAGACTTTGCCCCTGTAAACTCAGCCTCTGCCCTGTGACGTACTGTGGTGGACCCTCCTCACCAGCACAGACTCCAGCGCTGGGAGCTGCCTCAGGGGCAGGTATCAACTCAGAAAGAACAGACAGGGAAGGTGGCCTTTCAAAGCAGTGGTGGCAGGACAGCCTTTTCATCTAGTGGCCCTGGGACCCTCATGTGGGAACAAAATAATTAAGTAAGATGCCTACTTCCCCCCTACACAAAAATAAATTCTAGATAAAGAGCCAAATGTAAAATACCTACAAAGGACCTAAACAAAAACATTGAAGGATATTGTACAATCTCATAGTGGAAAAGGCCTTGCAAAGCAAGATAAAAGTCACAGAAGCTATAAAAGAAAAAGACTAATTTGACTCAAAATGAAAACCTTTTATAAGCAAATGATGCATTAAACCAAGTTAGAAAACAAGAAACAGACTGGAAGAAAGTAAAATATTTGCAACATAGGCAACAGAGAAAGGATCAATTCCCTCCTATAACAAGAGAACCTACAGACTGAAAGGAATGGGCCAGACAGTCCAGTAGATGAGATGGCCAAGGACAATGAGCAGGAAATCTACCAAAGAAGTACGAATGGTCAGGTAAATACACGAGAAAACTGTCCCTCACATTAGCCAAGAAAATGAGAATTAAGACATCAATAAGATAGCATTTGGGGCCCCCAGAACTTATACTAGTTTTTGAGAAAAGGTTGATAATACCCAGGGTGGCAAGGACATGGGCAGATGTACTCCCACCGGTGGGGCAAGTGCACTGAGGGAGTCTGTGGAAGACAACTTGGCTGTAGCTATTAACATGCTGACACACACTTTCTGATTTACCAATTCCATTCCCAGGTATCCTAGAAAAATTCTCAAACCCAGGCCAAGTGGCCTGCAGGACTGTAAAAGCAAAATACTGGATATAACTCAAAAATCCTCCAAAGGACATTTACCCCCCGGCCCTCCTACAGAACATTGTACTCTGATATAAAATTATCTGCAAGACACGCCAGTAAGTGAAAAACTGGTTGTTCTACCTTTTGCCTAGTAGGATTCCATTTATATAAACAAAATGAAGCTACATGTTTTTTATATGGTATATAAAAAGGGTTCTTTTTGTGAGTATCTGAAATAAATACGCTTTTATGGGAACATCATTGTACATTGTATGATGAAGGAAAACAGTGAGAACAAATGGAGGAGATGACGCTTCTGGGCCTAGGTTGCAGGCAGCAGGTTTCCAGTGCTGAGAAGACAGGCAGAGCTGGATCGGGGGGGCAGGGGTGGAGGCTGGGGGGTGCAGTGAGACCAGAGGCCCACCCCGGCTGAGTCCCACCCATGGCCTACTCACAGGGGTGTCGCTGCTGCTGTAGGCGATCACTTCCAGCACCGAGTTCTTCTCACAGGTGTCGATGCAGGACAGGTCGTAGAGCGAGGAGTGCACAGGCCCGTAGGCCCACTCGGTGAACTTCCTGGACAGGTGCCTGCACTCGGGCTCCTGGATCTCCCTCTGGAGAATATAGGCCAAGACCTGCCACGGGGATACAAGAGCCTGTTAGAGACCAGCCTGGAGCCCCGACCACAGGATGCGTCCCCACCAGGCCACCAGCTCTGCCTCAAGAATACGTCTGCTTCCTACCCCGGTTGAAGATTCTACCCAAGCCCCAGGAGAGCCCTCACCTCTATCCAGCAGCCTCCTGACCACAATCAAGGTCAACCTGCCCACCGCCTCAGACCCCAGCTGCAGCCACATCAGACCCATAGCCCGATCACACCTGATCACATACATTTCACCCTTGGCTCCACATACTCCTATCCCCAGGCCCTAGCGCCCCACCCCCACTCGAGTCTGGCTAGTGCTGCTCACATGTGGAAACGAGAAACAGGTACGATGCTGGCTTCTGAAGCATCTCACAACTCCTCTGGCCTCTAACAGCCCCTGCCCTACCCCTACAGGCGAGTGTCACAGTATCAGGGCTCCACGTGGTGGTGACACCAGACACGCAGCAAGGCAGACCGTCCCTCCCACAGCACCCTCTAAAGTCACACCCCCAGCCCAGGCCCGAAGCCTCCCCCGTACCCCAATCTTCCCACTCCTGGCAGCCAGAGCCAGGGGCGTCAGCCCCTTCTTGTTGGTGAGCTCCTCCAGCTTCAGTGTCGGGTGGAGCTTGGCCCCCAGGATCAGAATCTCATTGTACATGCTTGTCACAAACTTAGTGTTGTCGGCTGTGTTGTCGGCCACCTCCACCAGTGCGTGCAGCACCGTGTTGCCCACTGAGTCCCGGGCACTGATGTCTGCTGGCTGCCAAGAGTTCTGCAGCAGGAACTTCACGATGCCCAGCTGGTTGGTGCATGCAGCCAGGGAGAGGGGCAGCTCACCTGTGGCCAACACAGGCATGTGATGGGCCTCAGACATAGACCGGCTTGGTCCCCAGACCACCCAGCCTCCAAATCCTTCTGTCTACACCCTTAGCAATTGTCAAAAATCCAAGTGTCTACCACATGGCCTTCCTACCAAAGTAGAAGCCGGGCCGCCCTTTGGTTTTCTTAAAGAAGTCCCCGTTGGCTGCAGCCTGGACGTCTGCCCCGTTCTCCACCAGGAGGGTCACTAGTGCCATGTTGCGCCTCTCAATGGCAATGTGCAGGGCCGTCTGGCCTGTGGAGGATGTGTGCCATTGGTTTTGTACTCACAGTCCTGTGGGGGTGCTTAGACAGGTGCAGGGGAAAGACTTGGGCAGAAAATGCCAGATGACCCCCCCACAAGACAAGAGCAGGCCAGAATGCCCAAAGGGGCCCAGAGAGTCCCTGAGGCAGGAGTAGAGACCCCCGGGAACACCAGACCATGACCTGGAGTAGTCAAAAGTGGCAAGGTCAAGGAACAGTAGCAGAGAGAGTAGCCATGTCTTCCAGAAGCAAAGAACACCAAATACACAGAGGGGAGGGTGGGACCCTTGGCCCCAGGAGAAAGCAAATCCAGCAGGTAGGGGAGGCATGGCACCCCCGGGGCCAGGAGACACCACCGCAGTGTACAGTGCAGGGAATACAGAGCTCAGAGGCTTGCCCGGGCATGCCACCTAACCCCACTGTGCTTGTGGACAGAGCCATGCCAGACCCCGGCCCCCTCCTCACCCTTGTAGTAGCTGTCTGTGTAACTGGCATTGACAAACTCCTTCAGGCTGTCTGTCTGTCGGGCAATCTCCAGGAGCAGAGGGATGGTGTCATTCTGCCCGTCGTGCAGGTTGAGCATGGCTTTCAGCAGACAGGTTTTCCCTGTCTCAGGGTCTGTAGGACAAAGTGAGGGTCAGGGCAGAGCATGGCAGCTGGGGCCCGTCCCAGGATCCTGGTCCTGCAGGGGCCACCTTTGAACTCGCTGTCCATGAGGTGCTTCTGGCTCTTCTGCAGGAACAGCAGCAGACTCTGCAGCTCCTCACAGTTATTCTGAGCAACGGCTTCAAAGATCTTCCTGCGATCATACAGCTTGAGGTTCTTCTCATACCCAGTGGGAGCAGAGTCCTGGGACGGGGGCCTGCGGGCCAGAAAACACCTTCATCTCCTGCTCTGATTTCCCTTCAGCCTTGGGGCCTGCGGAGCTTGTCAGGGAGTGTGGCTAAAGCCCAAGACAAACCAAAAGGTGGAAAACCATGATACAAAACCCATCCCTCAGTCTAGATGACCGTCCAGGAAACTGATGTAATGGGGAACAGTGGGGTGCATGTGCCCACATTGTGTCCCCACCTTGACTGTAGGCACCATAGAAAGTCTTTGCTGCTGCCACTTCCTCCAACACCCAAGCCACTCACTTCTCTGCCTGCTCAGGAGCTGGGGCTCTGGGGGGCAGTAGCCCAGAGGAGGCTGGAGGGGGGGTGCAGTAGTTAGGATGGTTCCTATCAAGTGAAAAAGTGTCCTCACACTGGCCTGGAGGTCAGCCAGTCCATGTACCCTCCCTGACCTGCCTTGGAGGAAGCAAGGGGGCCATTGGGCTGGAACTGTTCTGCACTCTCTAGAAGCATCCTGGCTTTGAGGTTTTCAACTTAAAGTTTAAGTGTTTGGGGCTGGTGAGCATTCAAGACCTGGACACCTAGAGGTCAACCTGTAGCTATGATCAGCAGATAGGCCAGTATCCATGACCATGTGTCCTGAAGCTCCTAGGATACTGGACCAGATGATTTCTGAAGGCCCCCTAGATCCCTGGCTCTATGACCTTCAGCCCACAAGCTACAGTAACACATGGTATCTCCATGGCTGGGGTCTCTGCCGGCCGAGCCAGTTGGGCTCTAGGTGGGGAGGGGCCCAGGCTCCAGGTGCAGCTTACCTGTCACAGGTGGGGCCATCCTCATGCTTCTGGATGATGACAACAGGGCTGACGGTGATGGCTGGGCAGGAGGCTAGCTGGCCTTCCTCATAAGAGCAGTCCATAGGAGAAGCTTCCTCTGAGTCACACTTCCCAAAAAGCCGACTGCGGCTCTTGGCCGTGGGGAAGATGTGGGGCTTGGCTGGAGCTGGCCTGGAGTTAGGGTCTCCATCCAAGGGGTCTGAGCAGGAGTCTTCTTGGGGTGGTTCCTCAGACTCCCCTGAGTCTGAGCTCCCCCATTTCTTCATCCTTGTCAGATCCTTTGTGGCCCAAGAGGCAGCCTGTGGGCAGCCACCAAGATCAGGTGTGTTCCCAGCTTGAGGACTACACGACTCTAGCCCCCATCTGCCCTCTTTTCACAAGCCCCTGTGAAGCAGGACACCCCAGAGATCCAACAGCTGCTGGCCCTAGCCCCCAGAAGTAAAGCTTCTAGGGGTGCTGTACCTCCTACCTCAGAAGCCTCAGGGGTGAGCAGGGCTAGCAGCCCCACGGGCATCAGACTAGGGTAGACAAATCCCCCAGCTTGGAGCCATCAGGCTCTGAAAGACTTGAATGGATTGCTCTCTTCTCTGGGCCTCAGTGGCCTCATCTGCAAAGTGGGATCATAACTGCTGTCTCCCTCCAAGATCAGAACAAAGGAAATGATGGGAATGGCTGTCACTGGCTGTGCATTCAGGGAGGGACTCAGTGATGAGAACGGCTCAGCCTCGGAGAGCAGAGCCAGCTGCGTCTCCATGGACAGGGTGAGCGGCAGAGACTGCCACGCTCACACTCCACACTGCACAGGCCTTCCTGCGCCTCGTGTCCCCATCACCAGCCATGTGCTCGCCTGCTTTTGCTCTTCCATTTGGCGGCTGCAACCATGGAGTTGGTGGGGAGGTTTTGCACTTTTTTTGGTCATTTTTGTGAAATTTCAAACATCCCTGAATTTTTAAACTTTAAGAGATTAGGGGCTGGTTCAGGCCTGGAAGGCCTGAACACGTGGAGTTCAGCTGGCAGCTAGCACGTCAGCTGGTTAGCTAGCACATTCATATGGCCATGGACTTGTTTTGATACTGTTTTCCACCCCCTTCTTAACCTCTTCTTCCACTCCTCCCTGCATCCAGCAGGCGTGCCCGCTCCCTGGTACCCAGGGCTGTCCCACATCTCAGGGACCTTTGCTCCTGCAGCGCCTCCACTTGGACAGCGTTGTCCTTCTCCTCTTTGTGCCCAAATCCTATCACCTCTCAGAGGCCACCTCCCCTTGGGGTCCAGCACTAATGCTCCACACCCCCAGACTCTGCACCGGCCATGCTCTCTGCCCCTCCAGAGTGGCCCAGTTGGTTGTCCATCATCCTTCATGGCCCTGTTAGCACCACCCATTGTGCAGTCTAGCAATTTCTATCGGGCAGTGCCTTATCTCCCCCACACCCTATGACCTCTTCCTGAGCAGGGAACTTGTCTGATCCACCTCTCTATGAAAAAAAGCTATACTGGTCACTGTGGGGGACATGAAACAGATCAGATACAGACCCTTCTTGTTCCCTTTCCACAGAAAATTAGTGAGATCCATGTTCCAGCAGTGGCTGGATTCCAAAAAGTAGCTCGTCAAGGAATGGGAGGGTGCTCATGGCCTGTACTTTGAAGTACAAGTTCAGGCAGTGAACATTCAGAGCATATGGCTGTCGGCAATAAATCAGCCATTATCTGATGCCCAGGTCCCTGGGGGGAAAACAATGAGGCAGCCTCACCACTCTGCACCCTGCGAAGAAGACAGACCACTGACTGCTGGCCCGTTTTCCATCCTGCCTGCCATTCGTCTTTCAGGGGGGCTCAGGTCTTTCCCTGGGTTCCCCCTCAGATGGAAACTCTGTGGCAGGAAGGGTTCCTGGCCAGAGAATCCTCCTTACAACCACTCACCCCTTCGTTCATTCCATCACTCAACGGTCATCTACTGAATCCTGTTGGGTACCCAGGCCTGTGCTGGGGGTACAGGAAGGACTCAGCCTCCATCTGAGACAGAAACCAGGTGCTGGCAGGGGCAGGGGTATCACAGGAGGGGCCAGGGCGCTGAAGGAGGCTTCATGGAGGAAGAGACAGAGGATCTGGGCCTAGAAGGAGAGGAGGGTGGGTGTGGGACCAGGGGAGAGGATGGGGGTCCCACAGCAGCTGGTGAAGAGGAAGCCAGTGGGGCTGGAGGACAGGCAGCAGGGACAAAACCGGATGGCTGCTGCCCTTGAACATCAAGAAACAGAATGTGGACGTTATTGGGTGGACGGAAGGAAGCCATGAGAAGCTTCAGAAGCAAAAGCACCAACACTCGTTTGTGCTTTTGGAAGACTGCTTCTTGTCCAGGACTGTTCATACTATGAGGAGCCTGCTGCCATTAAAAGGCACGGGAGGCCAGTAAGAATGAAAATCACTGACATGCTTGAGCATGTACTGTGTGAAGGTGGATACCGTTCTAACACTTCACATGGGCTCACTTCATTCTCACATCTCCAAGAGGTAAATTTTTGACAGATGAGCAAACTTGGGCACAGTGGTTGCTGGAGGCCACAGTTAGGAAGAGGTGGAACCTGGATTTGATACCCAGCAGCCTGGCTCTAGAGTATCTCCAGTGCTCCAGCACATAGATCTCAGCCGTTACACTCAGCCCTAGACTTCACACCAGGGCGGGGGCTGATTAGATCAGCCCCGGGGCCAGGCAGGCAGGGACAACCCCCTTCTGATCAGAAGCCCCAACCTGTAGCACTGGAAGGAGCTCAAACAAGCATCCCAGGAAGCTCAAAGGCAAAAATGAAGTACAACTAAGAACCAGGCCATATGATAGGACAGGCCACAAAACCAAGAATAAACCTGGTGCCTGACACAGCTCTCAACATCGCAACCAGAGCACCCATTAGCAGGGGCCCCACAAATCCTTCCACAGTGTTCCCTTTTGCCTCTTCCTCTGACTGGTCCAAATCTAACCAAACCCAATAAACATGAAGCAGCCCACACAGTGCCGTCATTCAGTCAGTCAACAACCCCCAGGTCTGCACTGCATGCCTCACTCACACTTTGATTCCCTACTGGACACCAAGCTTCTTCCAGAGCAGGGGGCAGGACAGGGACTGAGAGGCCATTTGCTCTGGGCTTCAGGGTGAAAGGGGCCAGGATGGTCTGCCACTGCCCGGCCTGGGTGTGCCTAGCACATGAGCCCCATGGCAATGTACCTGTCACAGTTGAATATCCTACAATGATAGAGGAAATCTCCAGTTATGACCTGGGTGTCTGATGGAGATGGTGGTTCTGGTTTATGCAAGATTCACAAACTCACCAATCTGGACTGAAGGACTGTCCTGAAAAAATGAACCTGCTCAGCAAAACTCGGTTTGGCCTCTGGGCCTTTCTCAACCCCAGAGCCAGGAAGTAAACTGCCCACCACCTGGATGAGGCTCCCTTTTCCTCCCCAGTCCAGGTGACTCACCCTGGGGTGCATCTCTCCTGCTCCCTCTCTGGTCAAAGCATCTGCCTGCCTCTGGCCTCCCTGCAGGCTCTGGGAACTGGTCCAGGACCCAGCCCCAGTCATTCTTGTCCTCTTGGCCTCCCTGAGCATCTCCTAAGGAGGGATGGAGATCCGGGGGCTACTCAGCCTATGGATGAAGAGCCACAGGATCCCTATCCAAAGCAGAGAGCTAGTGGAGCCTGGACAAGAACCCAGGGCTCCTGCGTCCCTCCCCAGCTTCCCTTCAGTCTAGAAGGAGCTACGAGCTGAAACCTCCAGCCACAAACCATTGGCCTCTTTGCTCCAGGACAAGGGTCCAGGATGACCCCGGTGCAACTCATACACAAGGACAATAGCAACCTCCACGGCCACTTGCCAAATGTTTACGATTAGCCAGGCTAAGGGCGCTACAGCTATAGCTTCACTTCAGCGTCGCCACGACCTCTGAGGTAGCCACTATTATTATCCCCAGTTTTCAGATGGGATAACTGAGGTGCTGAGAAGCTAGTTGAACTGCTCATAGTTGCCCAAGCGGACAGAGGCAGGGCCCCGTTTTTGACAGCTCCCTGTGCCATTCTAAGAGCTAGCATCTGCACTGGCCAGCAAACAACAGAAAGGACTCACCAGCTAGACGCAGTGCACCCCGGACACAGCCGGTCCCGGCGAGCTCCAAGCCGTCTTGTTACCTGAAGAGAGAGTTGGACTGGTGTGGGGAGAAGAGTTGCCTCTGTGAGGGTCCGTGGCCCCTCCCCGGACCGCAGTCGCTTGGCGCTGGCAGGGATGGGCTGTGGGTGCACTCTGGCACTCAAGGAAAATGTTTCCAGCAATGGCTGCAGCTGCTGTTGCCGTGGTTCTGATTCCCAGAGGATCCCAGAGCTTTTCCCATCATTTTTGCCCTTTTTCAGAAACCACTTAGCTGCTGCCCCTCCTCCCACCATGCCAGGGCGGCAGTGCACTTAGCCACACACAGCCCAGAGCCAGCCAGAGCTGTGACCTCAGCTCCCAAGAAAAAGGAGGCCACTGCTCAGGCCTCCCCAACCCACCACTCTTACAGATAGGGTGGTCTGGGGGAAAAACTCAACAACCAGAGAAGTAAAACCCAGCACCATGGAACTGCTCCAGTGTGAAAATGTGGAAGGAATGGAAATGGCCGCATCCCCCATCATGCAGCTCTGGCCTGGCATTCAGGGACCTGGTTTTGAATGGCGGCTTTGCCACCAACTCTGTGCAACCTTGGACAAACGCCTGCCTCTCTTGGGCCTCTCATTCCCTGTGGAACCCTGGCATGGGATTGAGGTGGGAGGCTTCTGGGTCTGCCAGGTCCCAGCCTTACTCAACTGGGATTCCTCGTGGAACCACAAAACACAGAAAATCGTTTTCTGTGTCTATTTCCTAGTATGATCCTCAAAGCACAGGAGAAAAGTTAACGCTGAAGGCACAACTCCATCCTGGAACATGGCTGAGGAGAAAAGTTAACGCTGAAGGCACAACTCCATCCTGGAACATGGCTGAGAAAGGCGTGCATAGAGTCTGCAGCCCGAAATGCCAGGCAGAACCCATCCTGGCAGCCGCCGGGGGGAACCCTATAGGACTCCAAAAAGCCGGGGCCCACCGTGGCCTGAAATGAACAGCCTTGTGCCAGAAAAGTCCTATCAGAGCCCTACGTGGTGTAGCTCACAAGGTTGACCCCTGAGTCAAGACACTAAAGTGCAGACACTTTGTGGATTCTGCACGACATTTTAGTTTACAGAGAGGCTGCACAAACCCACTCTCCCACGCCACATAACAACCCTGGGTAGTGGCAGGGCAGAGATCGACATACTCATTTTACATATGAGATATCTGTGCCAGGCACCTGGGTGGCTCAGTTGGCGAAGTGTCCGACTTCGCCTCAGGTCATGATCTCACGGTTCGTGGGTTCGAGCCATGCTTTGGGCTCTGTCCTGACAGCTCAGAGCCTGGAGCCTGCTTCAGATTGTGTCTCCCTCTCTCTCTGCCCCTCCCCCATTCACACTCTGTCTCTCTTTCTCTCAAAAATAAAAATTTTTTAAAAAAGAAATGCCCCTTGCTTGGACAGCTTTTAGTATGTGTGCCATTTTAGCTTCAATTAAAATGAACCTTGGAATTCATCCCTTTGTTTGAAATTTTGGTAAAACACCTATAACATGAAAAAATATCATTTCAACCATTTTTCAGTGTACAAGAATGGAACATTAAGTGCATTCATAAAGTCTCCACCATCCATCTCCAGAACTGCTTTCATCTTGCAAAACTGAAACGCTATACCTGTTAAACACTAACTGCCCATTCCTCCCTTCCCCCAGCCTCTGGCAACCATTCTACATTCTGTCTCTATGAATTTAATTATTCTAAGACCATCATGGAAGTGGATTCATGCAGTATTTATCTTTTTGTGACTGCCTTGTCCACTTAGCATACTGTCCTCAAGATGCATCCATCTTGTAGCATATTACAGGATTTCCTCCCTTTATAAGGTTAAACAATATTCCATTGTATGTATGGACCACGTTTTGTTTAGCCCTTCATCTGTCAATGGACACTTAGGTTGCTTCCAACTTTTGCCTATGGAATAATGCTGTGAACACGGTTGTACAAATATCTCTTTGAGTTACAGCTTTCAATTCTTTTGGGCATATACCCAGAAGCGGGATGGCTAGAGCACGGAATTCATTCTTAATCATGCATAACCTTCTGTTACACATATTTTAAACTCACCAGCAATGACCCCTCAACCTACAAGTTCTCTGGGGTCACTGTTTCTTTTAACCACTTGTGTGGGCTGGAGGTGCTGCGGAGAGCACTTCGATGTGGAGATGGACATGCCAATGCTGTGTTAAGGACAGCCTCTGGTTGACACACTGGCTGGGCCAGGTCCATGGGCAGCCCTGGGACATGGGTGGGAGACATCTATGGCACTGAGAGAACTGGCCAGCCCAGGGCAACATCCAAGAGAGGGGAGGGTTATACTTCTCTACCAGAACTGTGCCCTTAGCTTCCAAGGTGATTTCTGCCTCCAGTGAGGATAACATATGTCACTAAATGTGTCCCCTTTGTAACAGCCATTGGGCACTGACAACATCTCCCAGAGTCTACATGGCACCATGCATGCTGCAAGGGCTGCAGGGGGAATCCTGGCCCTTCTCCTCCTCCCCTGACAGCTTTTCCTCAATATACAGGGGGCCCCCCCGGGACCTTTATCTCCTCTCCTTTACCCTGAGATCCCCGCTCCTCCAAGTACCCATCTGACATGTCCAAGCCAGGACATCATCCAGCGGTCCAGCCCCACCCTTTCCCCTGAGCTCTCCTGGGAACTCCAGGTAAAGACCACAAACCCTTTCCCATCACCACATCCCAAGATGAACCCCTCTGACCTCCACACTCCCTCTCCTCAATGTTCCTGCCTATAAGGCACCAACGTTCTTGTGTCAAAGTCTGAGATGTTTTGTCATCTCCAGTCTCTCCTTCTCTGTTCTGTCTAGGCTACATTTCTGTGGCTCATATCCATCCCTCTCTGCGGCTGGCAGCTACTTCCTCTCACCTGAGGCACCAGAAATGCCCACATCCTGACTCATCACCTCCCAACCCCCAGTCCTAGAATACCCTCCTGACTGTGCCCCCTTACAGAATAAGGCCCTACCCCTCGGCCTGGTATCCTGAGCCCACAGCCCCAGGCTCCATTCCCATTGTGGCCCAGTCCCTCCCGTTACCCAGATGCATCTCCTCCAGAGCCACACTAACTGTGCCTGCCTCCATGTCCCTCCCCTGCCCTCCTTCTGCCCAGCGTGCTTGCACTATGCATCCCACTTAACCCGTCCTTTAAGGCCCAGGTGGCAGGTGGGAACTGTGGATGCTGGGGCTCCATCATTCAACTCCCACATCTTCCAAAAAGCCTCCCCACCAAGTGCCCAGGCAAAGGGCTCACCTCTAAATCCCTACAGAAATCTCAACGTGCACCTCCCTGCAGCTACCAGTGCATGTGATCACAGTGACAACAATAATAGCAGCAGATGATTATTAAGCCCATGCAGCATGTCAGGTTCCGGAATAAGCACGTTATGCATTAGCTCATCAGACTTTCACAAAGTTTCATGAGGAGAGTTTGATTTTAAGCCCCATTTTATGGATGAGGAAATGAAGTATAGACAGGCTATGTAACCTGCCCAAGGGCGGTGACGACCATATTAGTCTTGTCTGAAGTTTCTTGAAGCCTGTGTTGAGTTTTAACTGCTCTGAGGTTTGTGTCTTATTTGGCAGAATTTAACGGCTCCAGAGAGACAGGACTTTTGCACCTTCCATTCTCCTTCTCTAAGCTTAGCTCCATGCCTCGCCCAAAAGAGTACACTGTAAACACTTATTGGCATGGTTTTATCTGAGCCAAAGCTGCACTGAGTGGTTCTACTAAAACTCATGAAATGGCAGCAGAGACAAGATCTTAGGGGTGAGCACTGCTGTCATCAGCCTGGTTTTCTGGGTGTATTTACAACAGGGTGTTCTTGAATCTATGTAATGATTTATCCATTAAAACTCTTTGCAAGTAGATCGTGTTTCAGGGATGACTTCTGGGAGGGGGATGCTTACTCCAAGCTCAGGTCTGATGGGAACAAAAGGCAGTGCAGGAAGTGTTAAGGGCCACACCAGCACGCTGGGTCAAGTCGGCTGGGCCCTAGGTCATCAATGGTTGCAGTTCTTTAGCGTTACCACCAGGGGGCACATTGACTTAAACTCAGCCCTTGACTTTGGCAAGGGGATCCTCATTTATTTTCTTCATCCAGCTGGGTCCCTCACAGATTTGAAGGCAAACTTTCTGATGAAGGTAGAAACCAGCAAACTCTCATGTGCTAAAAAGTCCTGATTACCCAAATCAGGGACTGTCTGCCTGACATTTCTGGGAGGACCCAAGTAGGAATAAGCAGACCTAGCTCCAGGACCAGCGAAAGGGGTGAAAGCACCACTGCAAGTACCTGTAACCCACCCAAGGACAGGCCAACTCTACTAGTCTTATCTCGAGCTTTCTAATCTTGTGTTGATATTTAACTTCCCTGATTTTTGTGTCTTGCTTCCCAGATTTTAAATGGCTTCAGGGATCCCAGATACAAATGGCAAACAGCAGATTTTTCTGCATTTGGTCTGTACATTAGTGTCACCAGGTACCCACATGAATCAGTTCCCATGGAGGGCAGGGTTCTGTGAGAGGGGACAGCACACTCCAGAAGTGGATGAATCTGGCCATCTAAGCTGGGGGGGGGATGAGGCATCCACTCAGCACCCGACAGCTGAGCCCTGCTCTGCAGAGCTGGAACCCAAGGCAGGGACTGGCAACAAGAGAGAGAAGAGATTGGAGGGTGAGGAGCATGGTCAGAGAATGGAGGCAGGAGAGGAGGCCCAGCTGGGCCAGATGCAGACTGCATAAATTTGGGCTGATAGCTGAAGCTCTGGGCCAGCTTCCACATCCACAAAATGGGCGAAGGCACCTGTCCTGCCTGCTTTCAGGGGCTTCTCTGGGGCTTAACAAGAATACTGGATGTGAATGGTCTTTGTGAGCTGGTAAAGCTCTACGCAGGCTTGAGAGGCTATTGTTCTCATCATCATTTCAGATGAGAACCGCATCTGCTGACTGTTGAGCTATATCCGGCCATTAGCTTGAGGTTGTGACTAATTGTTCTTTAATGAAAAAAACAAGATTTGCTTAATGTTTCATGAGTCACACAGTGAACATCTCTAAACCCAGAGTCTCTCAATTTCAAAGATGGGATCTATCCATCTGATCGTGGCTGAGAGGTCAGGTGCAAACCGCCCTCTTACCTGAAGGTCCACTGAGCACTAGTGAACCACAGCAAGCTTGTAGAGTGAATAAGATGGTCTATGACCTCAAGGAGACTAGGAAGCATGAGGAGGAAGACCAGCTGGGCTCTCTCTGATGCTTTACTGGGTGGGGCGCACTGTAACAGGCACAAGCCAGGAGCCAACAGGCCGTGCCAACAGCAAACCCTGAGTGGGGCCCCAGATGCCAGCTGCAATTATAACCTAGTGACCAATATTTCTCCAGGGAGACTGCATAGCAGGCAGATGGCATTTGAGCTGGGCCTTGGACAAGGTATTGTGTTCTGCCCTAGGAGGAGGACATTCCAAACATGGGCATTAGCCCAAGATTAAGGAAAAGGACAGAGTAGAGAACACTTAAGAGGAACCCTGCCCTCAAGCAGCTTTCAGTCCAGTTGAGAAGAAAAATAGAGGATATGAAAGCCACGGAAACAGGGGCGCCTGGGTGGCTTAGTCGGTTAAGCGTCCAACTTTCGCTTAGGTCATGATCTCGCGGTTCGTGGGTTCGAGCCCCGCATCGGGCTCTGTGCTGACTGCCGGCTTGGAGCCTGGAGCCTGTTTCAGTCTGTGACTCCCTCTCTCTCTGACCCTCCCCTGCTCATGCTGTCTCTCTCTCTCTCTCCTAGAAATAAATAAAACATAAAAAAAAAAAATTAAAAAGAAAGCCATGGAAACACTATATGGGTCTACTCATAGTCAAGGGCCAAAGGAAGGGTATGTGTGGCAGGCTCTGCCCTCACGTTGGTTCAGGCAGGCCTACCATCTCTCACAGGCTGTTTTCTAGGCCCCTCCAGTTGGACTCCCACCTCCTGTAACACCCTTTCTCCACTCTAAGTCCCATGGCTGGCAGTGATACTCCTAAAGCTCATGAAGTCTGTCCTCCACTCTGCTGCCCACAGGAGAAAGTCCAAACCCCTCCATCTGGCATATAGGACCCATCACAGTGTGGCCAACACTTCCAGCCACAGGTTCACACCCTTTCACATGCCCTATGACTAAGTTGCACCAGACAGTTCATCATACCCTACTCATGCCAGTCACTGTCATGTTAATATAGCTGCTCTCTCAGCCTAGAATGCTGAAGAAAATGGGCTCTGAGGTTGAATCCTAGAGCTGTGATCTTAGGTAGGTTACTTGACTTCTTTGTGTCTCAGTTTCTTCATCTGAGAAATGAAGGTAATAGTTCCTACCTTCTAGGGTCACCATATAGATCAAATAGGCCCAAACAAGTATAGATTAGCCCCTAGTACATAGCTCAAAAAAAGATTAGCTGCTGTTGGTATTGTTGGACCGAAACTCTCCAAGGTTTAGTTCAATGTCGCTTACATAAAGAACGAATTGTTCCTCCTTCTGCACATATGCATAAATCTGTCCTAGTGTTTATTTCCTTACCTAGTGATGGTAAATTGGCAATTCAGCGCCTTCCTGACTTAACACCCAGGTCCTAGTGCGTGCTCAGCAAATGTATAGGTCTGTGCTGGGTGCAGCTGAGGTTCTTAGACACAGTGTCTACTGTGACTGCAGTGGTCAAGATAAACTAAGTTATGCTGTGGTAACACCCCCAAATCTCAGCGGCTTCAAACATCAAAGGTGTATTTCTCAGTCCTACTGCGTGTCGCTCATCTGTTGGTGTCGCTCATCTGTTGGTGAGGGTTCTACACATACTGCCCTAACATGGAACCCAAAGCCTCCATTCTCTGGACACCACTGGTCACTCGTGACAAAGAGAAGGGAGTATGGCAAACCACACACTGGCTCCTAGGGGCCTCTGCTTAGAAGGAGCACACTTCTGATCATACTTTGCCAACCAAGGCAAATCAGGGGAGAAAGTGCAAGTCTACCACATGCTTGTAAGATTAGAATATGGGCAAACAGTCCTCAAGGCCAGGTCCTCATGTGAGGATCATGCTGGTACCTCCAGGGAATGACAAAAGCAGTGAGTGGTTGATGATTTCAGGCTGAAGAGATGAGGCCCTAGAAGCTGTGCTCACCCCCACTGTAGAGGCTCCAGCCTGTGCAATAAAAACAGCAGCAGAGCTCTCAGCCGACAAGCTTGGACCGTGCAAGGCTCAGCCCCAGAGATAGAGTGGACATGAGGAAAGGAAACAGGGAGTTCCGGCACCACGCTGGCTTTGCATCCAGTTCCTAATCTTACATTTACAGACTCCATCCATGGCACCCTGAGAATGCAAGACAGGCTGCCTCCCTGGAGTCAGAGGCTGAATTCCTCCCAATGGACAGGCTCTCTGTTATCCTTCGGCCTGTCCCAAGGTGACCTCTCTCACAGGCCTTCCACAGGGGCTCCAGAATAATGGTGTCAACTCATTTTGGCCAAGAGAAAACTCACATGACTTTCCTGAGTGACCTTCAGCTACTTGTCCCGGTAGAATCACGGGGCAAGCAGGGGGCTTCTGCAGGACAACCTACAAACAGTCCTCAGGGCCATATCCAACCTCCCAAACCAAGCCCTGCAGCTATGTCATAATTTCCCAAAGCAGGCAGGCGTGTCTTATTAAAGGGACAAAGCTCTGGAAGAATGAGCTTTAGTATCTGAAATCCAATCGGCATGGCCAGGCAGATTAATCTAAGAGCTCCAGACAACCACATAATTCATAAAGTGACCTTTACAAAGAAACAACATGACTGCTTCCCAAACTCATAGTTGCCCAGGAGCCTCAGAGTCAGGCCTGCCTGAGCCTTGGGACCACTCTTAGGAGTCTGGAACTAGATGCAGGAATGACAGCCTTCTGGAGGCATTCCACGGTCATCCCTACCAAGTACAGAAAGGTTTAAGGTGCTCTGGGATCCCCACATGGATGTTGACTCCAGTGGGATGTTTCTGCAGGTCAGGACCACATGGTGGGCCAGCAAGGCCAACACCAAGAGGAAGAAAATCTAGGACCTGCAGGATAAGGGGTTCTCTCTGATTGAACTACCACCCTCTCTGACAGAAGCATGCCCAGCCGCATCCCTTCCCTTGGAAGCCCTCCCAAGAATGTGCAGGAGCAAAAATACACTGCTGCCCAGACACACCCCTGAACACTGGTCCTGCTGGTACCTGGCCAGATATTAGGAACAATGTGCTTGAATGGTGGGGCCAGGCAGCATCCATCCCCCTTGCTGGTCATGCCACCCACCTTTCCTTTCTAGTTCTGTGCCTTCGAGCCAGTTGTGTTAAGGATCTGGAGCAGCTCCAGTGCAGTAGGCTGTCCCTGGATAGGGGAGTACCTGATGAGAAGGCCAGCACAGACCCCTGCATCTTCATCTCAGCCCATCTGTTTTATTGTCCTGGGCCACCCCCTCAGCTAACCAGCTGTGGCCGAGGGAAAACAAGAGTGAGAAAGGGACCTCAGGGTTACATGGTACAATCCAGTAGGGAAGGACTTTTCTAACAGTGCATGTGACCCAAGTCTGGGCTTCATGTCCTTTTAAAACCAATCCAAAAGCTGGATTGGGGGGGGGGGGGGGATCTTCTTTGAGCCCACAGCCACCAGACATTTTGGTGTCTAAAATCCACATTTATTTTCTCTTTGTCTACAGGTGAATCACAGACAAGCCTGCTGACCAGGATGCTGGGCTACTGTTCCTTTTCTTTCTCTCTCTCTCTCTCTCTTGCATATTTATATTTGTGACCAGGTCCCAGGTGAGTCTCTTTTGGAAAGCACTGATTTGGGACCTAGGTGATAAGTCCTGGCTGCATTATTAGTGTGCCCTGAAGGTGGGTTCTTGGTCAACATGGTGCCCTGAGAATAAGCTTTGCTTAAAAGCTGCCCACAAAACTGTTCAAGAAAAGGATGACCCCAGGGTGATGAGAGAATTATTAATTAGATAAAATCTGCAAGTCCTTTGGCCAAAGAATGTACTAAGACTCCCTCTGGTTAAGGTTTCTCTGGAGCATGACCAGAGCTGCCCCCACAGCTGCATCCACATCCTGTCCAAAGGACACTGGGAAAGGGAAAGCCCTCTGCACCTCCTGCTTCAGAACCTCGTTCCTGGACAGCGCACTCCCACTGCCAATCACCCGATCCACACCCCACTCCTTGAGCTGTTGAAACGGAAGCATGGAGTGCAGGTTTTGAACAATGCCTCGGCACAGGGCCCGGGTCACATGACCCAGGGAGAGATCAGAGGAGGAGATTCTGGTCACTGAGGCCAGCTGGTCCGGCAGGTGCCTCTCGCCCAACACCGTTGGAATGATAGTTAGACAAGTGTCTCTCTGCTGTGCAGCTGCCTGGATCATGCGCGAATACACAGTGGATTCTTCGACCTCCAGACCTTCCAGGAACAGAAAAGACCTGTGTGAGTTCATGCACCCCATCCGATGCTGCAGTCTGAGACAGTATAGAATTCCCAGGGGGCAGAGATCGTTCTTGCTGCTTCTGATCAGGGCTGGATGTTTCCTGGCTCAGGGACTCACAATGTCTGGCTAGCTGTGCTCTGCCCCAGACCCCAGCCTAGAGCTCAGGGAGAGATCTCTTAAGTGTTGCTGTAGGCCCTAACCTTCTCACAACTAATCATCCCACAACAGTGCTCCCAAGGGGAACATTGAATACACTGATCAAAAAGCATCATCATGGGGCACCTGGGTGGCTCAGTCAGTTAAGCATCCAACTCTTCTTGATCTTGGCTCAGGTCATGATCTCATAGTTCGTGAGTTCAAGCCCCACATGGGGCTCTGCTTGGGATTCTCTCTCTCCCTGTCTCTCTGCCCCTCCCCCAGTCTCTCTCAAAAATAAACTTAAAAAAAAAAAAAAAGCACCATCACAGCTGCTACTAGACTCATTAGCAGTGTCATAGAAATCCCAGGATCACAGTGCTGATCACAATCTAGCCCAACCTTCAGCAGAGGTTGAAAACCACCAGTCTAGACCAATGCTTCTCACATTTGAATATGCATATGAATCACTTAGGGATCTTATTAAAATGCAGCTTCTGACTCAATGTGGCTGGGGCAGGCCCCGAGATTCTATATTTGTTATCCACTGCTAGAACTCAGCACTGCTGGCCCAAGGACCACACTTTTGAAGTAGAAGGTTCTAGATCAGTGCTTACCAACACTTGAGGGGCTAAGAATCACCTGAGGAAGTTTTATAAAAGTTCCCACTACCCCATCCCATCCCACAGCCAAATCATCAGCATCCTACAGGCAGGACTAGGACATCAACATTGTTTTAAAAACCCCACAAGCATGGGCGCCTGAGTGGCTCCCCAGTTAAGCGTCCAATTCTTGATTTCAGCTCAGGTCATGATCCCGTGGTCATGATCTCCTGGTCATGAAACTGAGCCCTGTGTCAGGTTCCCACCGAGCATGGAGCCTGTTTGGGATTCTCTCTCTCCATCTCTCTCTGTCCCTCCCTGGCTAGTGGTCTCTCTCTCTCTCTCTCAAATCAATAAACTTAAAAAAAAAATTTTTTTTTTAGAGACACTCGGGTGGCTCAATTGACTAAGCGTCCGACTTTGGCTCAGGTCATGATCTTACAGTTCATGCGTTCAAGCCCCATGTAGGGGTGTATGCTGACAGCTCAGAGCCTGGAGCCTGCTTCCAATTCTGTGTGTCCCTCTCTCTCTCTGTCCCTTCCCTGCTTGTGATCTGTCTCTCTGTTTCTCAAAAATAAATAAACACTGAAAGAATTTTTTTTTTAATTCCACAAGTGTTTCCAATGTGCAGGCCACTTCTGACAGCCTCCACCCCAGAGTCACCATGGAGCCTCATTGGCAACACATTTAACTTATACAAATTCAACTTATACACACTCTCAAATGAAAGGGAGAGGGATAGAGAAATAATTTAAATATCATAGCCAAAATGTGATCAGCAAGACTCTGGTTAAATATGTCAGAATAGGGACACCTGGCTGGCTCAGTCCGTAGAACATGTGACTCTTGATATCAGGGTTGTAAGTTCAAGCCCCACGTTGGGCACAGCACCTACTTAAAAAAAAATTAAAATGCCAGAATAAATGTGTCTTTCCTCTCTGTCTACAAATTCTACTAAAATGTCAGAAAACTCAAGCGCTTGGTGAATACCCTAGCATGTGTGTACAAGCGTGTAAATCTGTAGGACTGAGTCCTTGGAAAAGAACTTCTGGTTCAAAAGATATGCACATCATACTCACCCTTAGAAGCAGGCCTGGTTTACACCAGCACCACAACGTGCAGGAGGGATTATCTCTCTATATCTTAGGAAACACAGTTAGAAACTTCTAAAAGAATAGATGAAGAATATAAAACCATGAGACTGGTGGGAAGAAAGGGAAGGGAGATGAAAAAGAAAAAACAGATCAATCAAATAGAAAGCAGAGAGGGGCGTCCAGCTGGCTCAGTCAGAGGAACATGTTACTCTTGATCGTGGGGCCATGAGTTTCAGCCCCAGGCTGGGTGTAGAGATTACTTAAATAAATAAAAGCTTAAAAAAAATAGAAAGCAGGGAGACTAAGGAGATGTGATGATTAAATGCAATGTGGTTCCTGAATTGGATCCTGGAACATAAAAAAAGACATAAGTGGAAAACTTTCAAAAGCAAAGAAAGTCTAGAGTTAAAAAAAAAACAATGAACAATGTGCTTGTATATCCTTAATAAAAAGTCCCAAAGGAATGTTAAGAAGATGTTAAAATAAAGTGTTCTTCCCCACTGGGGAACTCTTGGGCCACAACCCCAGGCTTGGGGAGCATCTGAAGGAAGGTGTACCACAGCAGAGACCAGAGAGCCCTGGCCCCTAGCCCTGCGTCTGCATCCCTTGGCTTACCACCTCATCACAGTCTAAATGCTGAGCTGCCAGATGTTCACATCATGGGCTTAGAAACATAGACCATCGGAGCTGGAAAAACACAGAAGGGAAAGGACCTGCCAAGGCCACATAATGACTTAGGACAGAGCCGAGAACTGAGGCCACTTTCCTGGGTAGCAACCACCACACAAGCAATTTGTATCACACTTACTATGGGCCAGACATCATCCTAAGTGCTTTGCATCATAACTCATTTGATCCTTGCTGTCCTCAGATGTAGGTACTAGGATCTCTTTTCAGACAAGGAAAATGAAGAACAGATGGGATAAGTAACCTGTCCAAAGGCACAATGAGGTGGTGGCACTGGGATTCAAACCCAGGCCACCTGGCTCCAGGGTCCCTGCTCTAAACTGCACAAGGATGGAACTGCCTGTTTTCCAACTTCTGGAAAATAACACAAACCTAGGGTATTCTGAATAGAGAGAGAGTTTAATTTTTACATCTTATGTTTTAATATTTTCATTTCTGGTTAATAAATGTAATGTCTTTCACGTGAATAAACTTTGTTGTATTTGCATCTATATATTTTTTAATCAAATGGCATAAGCGAAGAAATTTTATAAAAGGTTAAGCTACATGCAATACTAACCTTCAAAGTACTCAGTTTCATCAAAATAAGAACCATGAAAATGCAAAAGACTTTTCTTTTTGAAAGGATCTTACAGAGAAATTAAATATTACCATATCTTTCAGGGGTAAAAATAACAGTCACTTCTGTTTTTATTTTTATAAAAAATGTTTAATGTTTATTAATTTTTGAGAGACAGAGTGTGAGTGAGTGAGGGGCAGAAAGAAAGGGAGACACAGAATCTGAAGCAGGCTCCAGGCTCTGAGCTGTTAGCACAGAGCCCGACACCGGGCTCGAACTCACAAGCTGTGAGATCATGACCTGAGCTTAACTGACTGAGCCACCCAGGCACCCCAATAGTCACTTCTTTATAAAGAGAAATACCAGTCAACCCAGTCAACAATTGATAGGGTCATCCAGTTAAACCAGTATCTAAATACAGGGCTTGCCTGAAGGTTCTGGTGACTGGTTCTTAAAAACCTTTTCTGATGCAAGACAAGAGAGTTCTGTTCTTTTAATGAAGCGTTCCTGAGGGGATCTCGGCCAATGGGGGCAGAATTCCCCTGAAACCCTGACATCCCTGGCCAGCCTGAGAGCAGACTGACCTGGGTCACGATGCTTGTCAGCACAAGCAGTATGCACTTCCCATGGGCTCCCTGCTGCCTGTGCCTCACCTTTTTACACTGTGCTGAGAGGTTCCCAGAATGACCTGATTCAGAGCTCCTACATGTGGACCAGTGCATCTGATGAACATGATTTCCCCAGACCTGTATGGTTGACCAGAAATTTCATTTCTACCTTAGGTGCTTGGAAAGAAAACCTCTTCTGGAAGAAGGAGGTTGCAGGTTTCCCTGAAAATGAAGAGCAGAGAGAGGCCTGATCGATTCTACCCTGAAGAAAGCAGGAGGGCATCAGAGTTTCGAGGGACCCTTCCAAGAAAGGGAGTCAGGAACGACTTGCCAGGCCTAAGTGCCAAGAGGATTTTACAATACTGTCAAATACCATCCACGTTTGATCATTTTATTTTCAGCTGTCTGAAGTCATCAGAAGGAAACTTCAAACACAAGGGATCTGGGAGCTACTTGACAGAGAAGGTGACCAGTGGGGAAGGGGAGAGCTAAGACACTATTATCATATTCCATAGTCAAGGTTAGGGGAGAAGGTGCCCCCTCAAAGACAAAACAAAACAAAACAAAAAAACTATAGGTGATGGCAGCTCAGAAGATGAGAGGAAGGAAAGTGTACACATCCAGGTCCCTGAGGAAGGAAGGAATGTTCTGGAGCCTGGCTGGGTCTGACACATGAATCTAGAAACTTAAATAACACACTCAGCACCAAGACACTGCCACATAGAAAGGACGAGCAGAGAAAACATCACTGTGTGGGCAACTCCTTACCTAGATCGGCCATCCACTGTACCAGCATGTGGACAAACGTGGCCAACACGTTGCCCCCATTGAGCGACGCTGCCACTGCCAAGTAGGTCCTGTCAAAGTACGGGAAGTAAGTGACTGGAGCTGCTGGGTCTGGAGTCTGTGCCGGCTGGAACCCTGGAGGCATGGAGGTTGCCAACTGGACAGAGGTGCTGATGTTGAGAACTAGGGTCCAAAGAAAGCAGAAGTTAGGGCTGTCAGGCTGACTCAGAGGTCACAAGTCACAACACGGCAAGTCACAGCAGGAGAATGTGCTGGTCCACAAAGTCTTGGTACTCCTCCTTTCAGGAGGTAGAGCCTAATCCCCCCTCCCACCCCCCGGGTGTGGGCTGGACCCAGTGACTTCCAGAAGTGACCATGTGTGACTTTAGAGAACAGGTCACAAGAAGTCACTGCAGCTTCTGTCTTGGATCACTTCTGGGGAAATGCAGGCACCATGTCAGGAGCAGCCCTGTGCAGGAGCCCATGTGGCAAAAAACGGAGGCCTCCTGCCAAGAACCCCAAGAATGAGCTGGTAAGTAGGCCTGGCCTGGTCGAGCCTTTGGATGACTGCAGTGCCAGCGGGGCAACAGCTTGATTGTAGTTTCATGAGAGACCTTGAGCCAGACCCCCAGCCACATGCAGACTCCTGACTCTTCAGAAACTACGAGAGATAATGTTTGCTGTCTTAGGCTACTAAGAATATTGGCGTGATTTGTTACTCAGCAATAGACAAATATTTGCAGGGAGTAAGAGCTCAGCCCCAGTATTTAACTCTCTGGGGAGGTTTCACTCATTTTCGGCAAGCACCACTTCCTTCTCATTTCCATGGCATTCCTCTTAACCTTCTTCTATCAGCAGGGGAAAAGCTCCCAGACTCAGCACAGAGGAATGAGTTTCTCCTCCGGACTGAGGCCAGGGCCTGTGGGCTGTTCTAGGAGTATCTTCTCTTCCCCTTCTCACAAGACATGGCCAAAAAGCCTGTTCTTCTCAGTCTGTTGGGGTCTGAAATAACTGAGGTCAGCATTGAACTTTCCTGTCTGCTGGAGGTTTGAAGCAAGGAGACTGAAAACAAATCACAGAAAGCCAATACCCTTACTTTCTGCTACATCAAGCCTTTCACCATGACTCTTTACGAGAAGCAACATGCCCTCTACTTGTCCCCTGAAGTGGAGGTGTCAAGGGTGGAGGCCAACCAACCTTGCCCTTAGACACAGCACAACTGAGTACAGCCAGCAGCCACAATCTGGAACCAGAGACTACAACCAACTCACTGAAGAGGGAGCTAATTCTTATCTTCTTCCCACTTGACTAGTCCCTCACTTACTATGTAGGACGCACATTTACGTCCAGGCACAGGAGAGCCCTCCGTCAAGGGAACAGCCTGTGATTTGAAAACCACCAGAGTAGTTAGAAAGAGCCAGGCTCTTTAGAGGCACCAGCCCACTGTGTCACCACAACTGCCACTTAAGAAAGGTATCATCACCCTCATTATAGATGATGACAAAGGCTCAGAAAGGAAAGTCACCCTCTCAAGGCCATACCAGAAGAAGGAGAGGGGCTAAATTCCAACCCAGGCCTGTGGACTGGGCTCCAAAGCCCACATGAGTTCCCTGACAGTCATACTTTGACATGAAAGGATATAAGGCAAGAGATGGTGTATTGGGAAAATTAAAAGTCACAGAATAAACTTAGCATATATTCCCAGAGCATTGATTTTAGTTGAAAATTTGGGAGAAAAGACAGTTTTGAACAACTTTTAATCTGAAAAGTCTTTATCACATATAAGGGCCAACAAAATGGGCAGAATATCACTTTTCCCTCTCAGCTAATCTTGAATGAGGAATTACTACCCAAAACAAAATAATAAGAATACCATAAAGTAGGGGTGCCTGGGTGGCATCAGAGTATCTGACTTCCACTCAAGTCATGATATCAAGGTTTGTGGACTTGAGCCCTGCCTCGTGGGCTCTGTGCTGACAGCTCAGAGCCTGGAGCCTACTTTGGATTCTGTGTGTCCCTCTCTCTGCCCCTCCCCTGTTCATGCTCGGTCTGTCTCTCAAAAATAAACAAACATTAAAAAAGAAAGAAAGAAACAGAGAGAGACAGGGAGACACACGGGGGGGGGGGGGGGAAGGAGGGAAGGGAAGGGAAGGGAAGGGAAGGGAAGGGAAGGGAAGGGAAGGGAAGGGAAGGGAAGGGAAGGAAAATGCCATGAAATAGAAATACATACAAGAGAAGGCTAGTCAGACTTTTTAAAGTCAGGGTTGAAGTGTAATAGTTCTATCTGATATACAAAAAAAAAAAAAAAAAAAAGATGTGATAACAAAGAGAATTCAGATAAGATGAATGAATTCTCCATTCCCCTTGGTAACAAGGAGGGCCTCCCCGAGTAGACTCGCTCAGCCAGGCTGCCGTGAGGGTCAAATGAAACCCCCATCCTGCAACCACCTGCTTGGCCAGGCAAGCCTCAATTCTCCCCTAGACTGGGGAGGGGCAAACAATAGCCCATAGACCATATCCACCCGGCTATGTGTTTTTGTATGGTCTGGGAGCTAAGAACAGCTTCCACATTTTTTTAAAGAATAGCTTTATTGAGATGTAATTCACACAAATTTGCCATTAAAAGCAACCTTTTAAAGGGTATAATTCAGTGGTTTTTAGTATATTCACAGTTGTGCAACCATCACCACTATCTAATTTTAAAACATTTTTATCACTCCAAAGAGAGACTCTGTACCCACCAGCAATCAAGGCGGCCCCCGACCCCGGCACCCATTCATCTGCTGTCTGTCTCTACGGATTGGCCTGTTCTGGACGATTCACAGGAATGGAAACACGATATGAAGCCTTTTGGAACTGGCTTCTTTCATTCCCCCCTTTTACTCCCACGTTGTGACATTTTAGCTGTGTGGATATAGCACACTTTTTAAATCCATTTATCAGTTGGTGGGAGTTTGGATTGTTTCTACTTTTTGAATTATGAGTTGTTATGAACAATGCTGCTAGGAACATCTGGGAGAAGTGTGGACACCTGTTTGTGTGGACACGTGTTTCCAGGTCTCTCAGTCGTGTGCACGCGGGAGTGGAATTGCTGGCTCACATGGTAACTCCATTACCCTGGAGTAACTTTTGAGGAACTGCCAGGCTGTTTTCCGAAGGGGCTGCAGCATTTTACAATCCCAGTGGCATGTTCTTACATTTTTAAATGGTTGAAAAGAAATCAAAAGGAGAAGAAAATTTCATGACACATGAAAATTCTATGAAATTCACATTTCAGTGTCTATAAATAAGGTTTTATCGGAACACAGCTACACCCTTTCATTTATGTATTGGCTATGCTGCTTTCATGCTCCAACAGCAGAGTTAGGTAGCTATGATAGAAACGATATGGCCTACAGAGCCTAATGGGTTTACCATCTGGCCCTTTATAGAAAAAGTTGGCCAAGCCCTGCCCTAGACTGCAGCCTCCATCTCACTGTGACTCTCTTACATTGAATATAGAAAAGACTCTGCGTTTCTAATCAGATGGGGTGGAACTTTCATTGACAAACGCAGTAACAAAAGCCCTACTCTACTCATCTATTTTCTTGGTCACGGAGTTACACGGCAATCAGTCAACAAGAAAGCGTCATTTCCCTTACCTGGCTGTGGAGAGGAAAAGCAGAGACTGTGGTCAGGGACAGAACTTGCCCTACAGGATTGCAAGCTCCCAGGGGAGGGGCTTCAGAACCTATAGGAAATGAGGCTGTTTTTCATGTTTACAGAATAACAAAAACAACAGGACGCCGAGGCTATTGGTTACATGTGCCCCTTGCACCCTCACACAGACCTGGAGCTTAGGAGGCACCAGTAGAAGTCTGAGGAGGGAAGAGAACAAAGACTTACCGGCATCTGTCCTTCGAGCCATACAGGAATAGACGGAAGCCTGTAAATCCCCCAAGGCCACGCCCACCTGGGTCCCCTTTGGGATTCCAAACCAGGCACAGGAAGTTCTGCCCGCCACGCTGCCTGCCTCAGTGACGGCTGGGAGCAGGTGGATGGGAAACCCCGAGGTCCTCAATCTGCAATCCAAAAATGGACAGTGTATTTGCCGGGCACTGGGTTTTTCCCGCCTCTGTTGTTTCTGGGAAACTCAACAAAGGAGAGCACTAAAGGATACACATTCGGGAAGGGAGAGTAGAATCCAGTGTTTCCATAGAGGGCCTCTTTGGCTTTTTTAAAACTATAAGAAGTAGACTTGCATTTTTTTTAGAGTGAACACTGGCTTTCAAAAGCTTGGGATTGGCCTTCCAGGAAAGAAAACAACCAGTGCAAGCGGGAGTGATCAGGAAGGATTAGATGAGAGTCAGATATCGTCACCACTCAGCCTCCTATGTTTGAAGGGAACACAAATACTCTGTAAAGGGGCATAGGGTTTCAGCACAAAGTCACAGTCAGTTAGCACAGGCCAAACCAAAGTCAAATCCATCAGTCTCCTGATGAATGCCAAGCGCATTTTTCACTCGGGGTTAGTGAACATGGGGCTGTCAATTTTATAAAACATGCTAGAAACTCCTTTACCTGAACTACCAGGTGCTTTTTGTTTTATTACAGAGCTCAGAATTTGGACCCTGAAGGAAGTGAACTTATAGGGCACTGGATTTCTGGATCTGAAAAGGCAAAAGAGTGCTTAAAAAGAACTTTTAAGACTCAAGACTGCTACTTCCATTTTTTAACTTTATTTTAAGCTTTATTACAGTGAAAGTTATTCTTTGAAATCTATGGGCTAGGGCTGAGTCACAGACTCTAGGGAGCCCAACGTAGGTCTGGGTAATTGTGGAAGAGGAGGACAGCATGGTGTACAGGGTAACCCCCTCCAAGGGTTCACTTACAGCCGGGCACACCCATACCTGGTGCCTGAAACAGGCTGAGGGGCATTGGAACTTGATTCCTGGCCTCTGGGAATCCTCCACTCTTCCCGAATGGGCAAACCCACTGAAGCTCTTGCATTAGAGATTCTGCCCTTCAGCCTGGAGCCGGCCTGCAACAATATACTCACATTTCCGAGTTCCAGCTTTGGCTCTGAGTGTTGAAATATCCCCAGCTAGCAGCATTCTGGTCGCACATCAGGGATCTTGGCAAGCCACACAGCATGGCAACCACATAGTCATGGATGGTGCCCGCTGCATCATAGGACTTCAGGAACTCTGGGCTAGTTTCATATCAAAAACAGTTCAACATGGTTTAATAGCAACTTGAAAGCAGGTGCCACACCTACCTGCAGGCAGTGGACTAGACATGGCATAGCTGGGTGGCAGCCAGCTCCCCACATGCTGTGGTTCCCCAACAAGTAAACCTCCCGGGGTGAGGACCTCCCAGCCACTCAGCACAGCTGGCTGAAATCAGCCTTAGGGAAGTGGTCTCAGGGGAGGATGCACCATGCTTGGGAAAGCAGGACATCGGCCGTTCTCAGCAGCCCTGATCCCACTCTGAACTCACCACGTGACCCTTGGCAAGTCCCTTGTCCTCTCTGCCCTGTTCTTTCCCCCTCCTGGTTAGAATCAGATAACCAAGCCTTCTGAGAAATGAAGCAGTTCTACACCAAGTCTAGGTCCTGTGACCACACTGTGCCAGGCCACCTCACTGAGGGACACTCTGGCAGGTGGAGTGATGCTGACTGGCTGGAGGCATAGCCCCCTGGCCACTCTCATTTCCCTGGAAATCCAGCCCCAATTCACAAATGGTTGTCCATACCTATTCTTCAAAAGCCAGAAGATGGTTGCACAGCCAAAGCCTGAGGCCACATTGAGATGGGACTCTGGCTGGGGCAAAGAAGCCAGGAACTCGCTGCTACACCGGCCATCCTGCCACGTGACCAGGTGGCTCACAGCTCTGGGCTCAAACACAGGGTAGGCCCCTCCCTGTGTCCATTCACAGCCTGGAACAAAGGAGATTACCGAACACAGAGAAACGAGCAACTGACCAGCGACGTCATGTCCTTGAGACTACTCTGCTAGCGAGATTACAGCACAACTTTATCGCCCATGATAATGCTTCACTCATACGCCTGGGTTCTGATACCAGAGCACCTGGGTTTAGTACCTGGCTCCATCACCAGTGACCCTGGGATCATGACCTGAACCGAAACTAAGAGTCAGATGCTCAACTGACTGAGCCACCCAAGCCTCCCTAAAGTTGGGATTCTTATTCCAGCCCAAAAGCTGGATTTCTACAGCTTTTATTCAGCCCCTTTATCTGCTTTCAAAACTCTTTGATTGTTTAAAAAATTTTTTTTTCGACTAACATTTTTATTTTGTTTGTATTGGAAAACAAATATGGAGCCCTTACTATGTACTAGGTATTCTTCAAAGCACTTCAAAAATATTAATTCATTTAGGGGCGCCTGGGTGGCTTAGTCGGTTAAGCGTCCGACTTTCGCTTAGGTCATGATCTCGCGGTTCGTGGGTTCGAGCCCCGCGTGGGGCTCTGTGCTGACTGCCAGCTCAGAGCCTGGAGCCTGTTTCAGAGTCTGTGACTCCCTCTCTCTCTGACCCTCCACTGCTCACGCTGTCTCTCTCTCTCTCTCCTAGAAATAAATAAAAATATTTTTTAAAAAATATTAATTCATTTAATCTATATAACAGCCTTATAACGTAGGTATGATCATTCTCCCTTTTTACAAGAAAAACGAAGCACAGAGAAGTTAAAAAAATTTGCCAAAGGTCACATAGCTACTAAGTGGTAGAACCAAGATTCATATGCAGTCTGTTTCAGAATTTGGCCTGATGTTTGTTAACTTTTTTTCTTTCTTCATTTTGTTCACTTTTTTGAGGGGAGGGAGGCAAAGCATTGATATATGTTCAATTTTTTAATTACACAAGTTTCTCGGTATGACTTGTTCAGATAGTACAGATAAAACCAAAGGAAGGCCCGCTTACACCCCTACCTGAGTCCTGGCCCCACTCCTGTCCCTGTTTAGCACTTGCAGGAAACCATCTCAAGTTTTCACACTCACACAACATATTTTGTTTGGCTTGGTGGATTTTACTTTGTTTTTGTCTGTTGTTCTTTTTTTTTTTTTTTTTTTTTTTAAACAAATAGCACTACACTGTATTTTGTCTTCTAGGGGTTGTTTTTAACATCCAACAAGTGTTCTGGAGGCCTTTCCATGTGAGTGTACATGAATGTACCTGAGTCTATTTGCCTGCTACACACCCTCCTACAGTCTGGGCGCACCGCCATTTACGCATCCATTCCCCAGAGCTTAAATGCCAGTTTTCGCCACCATTAACGAGGCAACGAGCGACCATGATTACGCCTCCTCATGCACATACATGTTAAAGTCCTTTTCCTCAGCAGATTCCATGTGGCAGAGCTGCTGAGTCATTGCAGCCCCCTTGTTTCTAAAAGGCCCTGCCAAACTGCCCTCCAAACCGCCATGCTAACTTATACTACCACCAGCCATATTTTTTAAAAATCCATTTTCCACCCCATTCCTCAACCTTGACATTTTCAAACTGTGATTTCTTACAATGCAGTCGGTGGAAAATGATTTCTCATTGTTGTTTTCATCTGCCCTGCCCTAATTACTAATGACATTGAGCATTTTGTTATATGCTTATGAGCCACTCGTATTTCCTCTTCTAGGAACTGCCTGTCGGTATCCTTTGCCCATTTTCCACAGGGCCATTTGCCCTTTTTCTGTCCTTAGTTCTTGCTATGTACCCATATTATTCACACTAGCAAACATTTTCTCCCAGTAGGCCACTTGCCTTTTAGCTTGGTTTTATGATGCCCACTTCTCTCCTGCTCTTACTGAGCCTGGAAATGGAGTCTGCAGGCATAACCGCAGGCCTCTCAGAAGCCACTCTCCCTGCTTTTCCTCTCCTCCCGCTGGCTGGCCTGTGCCCTCATGGAGGCAATTAGCTCTCCACTCGGCTCACTGGTGCCTGTCTGTGCTGACCGCCTGGAGTGTACCCTGGAAGGTGAGGGCATCGTCTGCTAGTTTCTATGTCTCCCGTGGGGTCAAGCACGGAGCCTTATACATTGTAGGTACTGAAGCCAAACTGTTTTATGGCCACCATTAAAAAACAATGTCTTGATCCCAAATATGACTTCACTCAACTCTGCTAAGCAAGTATTTTCATTGGCAAACAGTGGTTTCCCTCCTTCCCAGAAGCAGAAAACAAAGCAAGGAGGCATGTGGGCTGGCTCAATGAAATATTAAGCAGCTCTCTCCAACAATGTGGGCAATGGTTTGTGTGGTTGTTACAGAGTCCAGGAAATGGGCAGAAAGATGACCAGACCACAATCATTAGGTCTCTGCTGTCCTCTTTGGGGCAAGTTTTAGTATTAAAAGGACATTTATTCTCATTAATGCAAAATTAAGGAGTTTAAAAAGCTTTTACAACCTAGACTCCCTCTGAGAGATCAGCTCTAACACCCTAATCGGCCTTCTCCTCCTACCGATCGGAGCCAAGCAGCTCGTGTGGTCCCAGCCAGCTTGACAACAGGCAGATGAGGAGGAGGGAAGAAGCTGAGGAAGAGGGAAGAAGCGAGAGACCCTGCACTGGCTTCTATAGTCACCCAGACCCTCCTGGGAACGGATCAAAGGACACAGCACTAGACATCGGTCGTGCTGCTGAGAGGCAGGTCACCACTCACTTGGCCCAAGGGAACTGGAATCACTGACTCTCCAGGCAAAAGGGGTGAATTTGGTGTTCAAATCCCCTTAACTACAGCCCCCAAAGTAGCCATCCATCCTCTACTTAAAATACCTACAGTAGGGGGCGCTGGGGTGGCCCCATCTGCTAAAAGTCTGACTCTTGATGTAGGCTCAGGTCATGATCTCAGGATTTGTGAGATCAAGCCCTGAGTCTGGCTCTGCACTGACAGTTTCTCTCTCGCCTTCTCTCTCTGTCCCTCCCCAGCTCATGCGTGCTCTCTCTCTCAAAATAAATTTTAAAAACTTAATTAAAAAATTACTTGCAGTAAAATGTTGATAGCTTTGAAGCTGGGTGATGGATGTGTGTCAGTTCATAATACTATTCTCCCTACTTTTATGTCTGTGTAGAACTTTTTAGTTAAAAAAGTTTTTTAATGCTTGCTGTAATAGGAGCCCATAATATCCCAGTCCTTCCTTGGACATTCTGTTGAGAAGTTCCTGGCTTCATTGAGCTGTTGCACCGTCGTGCAGCTCTGGTCCTCCAAGAGGCCTTGAAAAGCGCAGTGTCTGAAGTCACACCCACCTAAGTTCAAAAGCTGGAGTCCCCACTTGCTGCCATATGACCCTCAACATATTAACCTCAGAACCTCCAGTTCTCTATCTGCACAATGGGGACAGCAATGTAACCTACTTCATGAAGATGTCGGGAAAGTTCAATGTGATGATGCAGGTAACATCCTTAGCCCAGCACCTGGCATGTAAATTACCATCATTATTTTCCTGACTTAATAATTCTCCTCCTGGAGGCCAAAGAGAACAGGTCACTACCTCTGCACTGTGGCAGACCTTCTGATACAAGATGACCAATTAAATAATTCTTAGCACTTGAGCCCATAAAAATGACATGCCCTGGAATTTTAAAATCACAAAAATCTTTGATTTTTTTTGCCATTTTGATTATGGCAAACAACAAAAATTATGCCTAAATTCAAAAGTGTTTCCACTGCACCTTGGCATCTCCTATAATCACACTAATCTCTTAGTGTCTCATGCTCTGAGACACTGACACAAACAGAAAGCTGTGGAAAATCCACTCCACTGAATCCCACAGAGAATCACAGAGAATTCATTCTTTTCCCTCGCCCGCCTGATGGACAGACAATGTGTGAGTGGATAGTTTGCTTACTCATTACACATTTATACAAGATAAGATGTACACAAAATACAAGAGGCAACGTGCACCATACCATTCCCATGGCAGGGTGACCTGATCCTTCAGGGAGACCCCTTGGCAGCACCTTGCTGTTCCACAGTGGTTGCTAGAAGCACATGATCATCCCTGGAGCCCAGCATACCTTGGCCTGTTTTCCAAAACATGACTCCATGCATCTGCCCTGATACTCCAATGCCACAGACGTCCTGGAGCAACTGTCGAGGAAGGTCAGCAAGGCATGCGTTTAGGGCTTGGATGATTCTGCTCACATCCTGCTCCTGTCCCTGGAAACAGAACAGGGCACACTGGGCGGTGGCACACACACGGGCAGGGGGAGGAGGCAGAGGCCCCAACGGATTTCCTGGGCGGCGGCTGTCCAGCTAATTCCACTGGGGTCACTTGCAGGACCTGCTGACTGGGCTCAGGGATGGCAAGTGGGGCTGACGGCTCTCCACCACCTCCAGCGGCGCCTGGCATAGGTGTGCATTGGGCAAGAGTCCACTCCCTCCCTGCACAGGTGAGGTGCCGGTGCGGATGCGGTTCCGAAATGGCAAAGGCTCTGCCCTCCACCGTGGGCGAGCCTGAGCTAAGAAACGCACTGCCCCTGCCCTGCAGGAACTGACAGGCTAACATTAAGGATAGGAAAACATAAGAACAAGATGTAAAGAGAAGTCCAGGGTCTATCACAAGGCGTACAGAGGACTGGGATAGGGGCAGGACAGAACACAGCCAGGAGGAACCTGGCAGGAAAGGGGCAGCCAGGAAAGGCCTCATGGACAAACCGTAGTGTTTTGCTTCTACCTGGACTTTAGTTCATCCAACTGCAAACATTTCCTCAGTGCTTTTAGGGCCAGGCCCTAGACATGGAAACCAAACACCCACTGGGGGACGAGGGACACATGGGTGGCTCAGTCAGTTAACTGTCTGACTCTGGATTTTGGTTCAGGTCATGATCTCATGGTTCCTGAGGTCAAGCCCTACATCGGGCTCTGTGCTGACAGCGTGAAGCCCACATGGGATTATCTCTCTGCCCCTCCCTGGCTCTCACACACGGGCCTGCACCCGTGGCCACTTGCACACATGTTTTCTCTCTCTCTTTCTCTCTCTCAAAATAAATAAATAAACTTATGGGAAAAAAAAAGAGAATAAAACACCCACTAGGGAAGGCAGGCAAAGAGAAAGCCCAGAGAATACCTGGGTACAGCGACAGTGAAATTGTCCATGCAAGGGTGTGGTGGGAAATGAGGCTATAAAAGAGGAGAGGCTGAGCCCAATGGCCAACCTTGCGCCCCTCCTAAAGCCAATGGGGTGAACTTGAGGCTTTCTGAATGGGACAGTATTATCATCAGAGTTGTATTTTCAGGAGATTGATTAAGCAATGATATAAGGAACCCAGAAAGAGACTGATAGTATAGAAAGATTTTTAGGGGTGGAAATGAGATTCAAGAAAGTCAGGACCATCTTTTCCTGATTTGCCTTTTCCCCTAGTTTGCCTCCTTACAAACTTGTCTAGGCAGAATAACCTTGACAAACAAAATCATGAGAGTTAAGGATATAATCAAATAGCATGCTAATATCTCTGAGTCCAGTGGTCCTAAGAAACAAGAATATGAATAGAATGCAGGATTTGAAAAAAATTAAAGGTGCCTGGAATCAAATGGGAAAACACACTTAGGGATCTTAGAGATAACGAAATGCCAAATCCAACCAAGCAGTATATCCAAATGGATGGGAGGTAGAGACGGATACACCTTCAAAAGCAGATGACTCACACCAAAAAAATTAGGTTTCCATGACCATCTTTTCTTCTAAATTATGAAGTCCCTGTTAAAGACCAGAAATCAGACTCCAAGATCCCATCCCACCCCAGGAGATATCTCTAATCAGTAAGAACTCTTAATAAGCTAAGGAGGCCACCACAAAATATACACTTGGAAACGTAACCCAGGTGACAAAACTGCTTCCTTGATGAGTAAGGAGACTTCAAAGTGGAAAGATCAAGAATGAAACATTCATGTTTAAAAGAGTCATACCTATGTGATTAACATTTGTGCTTAAGGAAATCTTTGAGCATTTGGTATTTCAGGTAAATTTATATGTTTAAGAGAATTTGGCCCAGGTTACCTTTGTAACTCCAAGTTAAAATGTGAAATTGAGTAACTGATCTAGATTCGTGATTATAAGTGCAAATCTCACTACTGTTTATTTATAAAAGGATTTTAAACATACAAGAGCATTTGAAGTCCACATAGTTATCCATTTAACGTATTAGATTTATAAGAATTATTTAAGTATTCTGAAAAGCTGTGGGTCAGGCAGCTACAGTACCTAAAATATAGATATAGATACATATAGATACATATAAATATAATGTATAACTGAGATACTTAAAAATGACCTTGAATATTATTCAGAGGCCCTCAAAAATGATAGTGACATGTTAGACTTATAAATGGAACCAGCTTTATCAGCTAAATTTAGAAGCTTAAGTAAGAACTAGGGTTCTGAATTTAATAAATTTAATAAATTACTTACTTTGATTTCAACCCAAATGAAATGTTTCTGGCACGTAAAAATCACCTCAATGCACAAACCAAGCTTACCAACTAGAAGAACCCCTGGAAAACTCAGAAGAGAAATGTGGCTCAGCTCTTAATAAATGTCTGGTCTCTGGGACCTGAAAAAGCTTCTGGTCTTGGAAAGGCATCTGAAGTCTGAGCCCTCAAGCCCCAGGCTTTCCTGCCCAGGGCAGCACACAGCCCTCCCTTTCCTTGGGACAGACCCCTCACTTGGCGCTCCTGCCCCAAGGCCCCTGCTGGTCTTGGACAAGGCTGCAACAAGCGTGAACAAAGGAACAGAAAAAAAGGTGAGGATGGGCAGGATGGGGAAAGGAGTGCAGAGAGAACACAAATCATTTTCCAGAGGAGGCAGCCCCAGACCCTGACGAGACTCTATATGGGAGAGACTGCAGCAGCACTGGCTGGGCAATGAGAGCCCAGCAGAGAGGAGATGCGTGGCTGGCACCTCAATTGAGACGTGTTGCAAGTGTAAAATACATATCAGACATCAGATTTAGTACGAAAAATGCACAATACTTATTAATAATTTTATACTCATTTATATATATTGAAATGATAGCATATTGGATACATTGGGCCAAATGAAATATGCAGTTGAAATTCATTTCAGCTGTTACTTTTTTGTAATACTAGAAAACTGGAAATTCCAGGTGTGGGTCAACTTTGTGGCTGGAATTTCTACCAGACAGTGCTAGTTTAAAGAGTTCCCACATGGCCTCACATCAACCCAGGACAGAGGAGCCACTGTTTAAAATGGGCCCACGGTGTGTGAGTTGTGTGGGTGGGACAGTGAAGGAGAAAAATGGGCCAGGTGGGAGTGGGGACAAGGAAGCGGTCAGGGCTCAGCAATTAGTGTGAGTTTCAGTGGTGAGTATGAGGGAGTAACTTCCAGATAATGGGCATGCCCACGATGGCACAGGAAAGGTGCTGCCTCCACTCCTTGGTTCTCACCATCAATCACTCTACATCCAGACGAAATCCTAGAGCTTTAGATTTGAGAAAAGAACTTAGAAACCCATTCAACCCTCCTCCTCCACACCCCTCTTTACAGATGAGGAAACGGAGGCCCCGAAAGGAACAATGAACTCAGAAAGGGTCACAGAGATTCACTCAAAAATCCTGGTATTTCAAAGTTGCAAATACCTAAAAGCCTGACTTTCTATACAGCTGCCAGGCAAGGCCTTGTTCTATACAATACTTCTTAAGAATGAAAAGCATGGACATAAAGAGAGGACAGAGTCATCAGGTATTTCTGTAGGTCAGTGGTCCTCACCCCAGGCGTGACTTCTGTCCCCTAGAGTATACTTGGCAATATGGAGACATTTTGGGGTGTCGGAACTGGGTAGGAAGGGTGTACTGGCATATAGTGGGTAGGAGTGCTGCTGACCAATGCACGAGACAGCTCTCCACAAATGATCCGAAGTATCAACAGTGCCAAGGTTGAGAAATTCTGCTAAAGATGAAAGTACAGCAATGCCGTTTGTCCCAGAACACAAAACACACGTGGAAGCAGCAAGGGGGGTATTACTGGCCTCTCCTAAACCCCTCATTAGGCAGGTGTGGCATACTGCATGCCTGTAAACACCGAACAGCCTGCTGAATGCTGGGGGAAGCAGAGAAAACAGTTTTCAAGAAGTGGCCCTATTTCAAGAGAAAAGGGGACTGCCTAAACCCACTTCCTGTAATCCCAGCTGCTCAGCCCCCACAGGGTCAGAGCTGAATTCGCCTCCATTTCATAGTCCATGAGGTGAAATAATCATTCTAAAAATCCTGATGCCCCAGCCAAACCAATTTTGAAAGTCTATGAAAATGCAAAAATGCTCCTGTAATCTTTATCCTGAAATGCTTTATCCTGAAATGCTTCTGAGCAAGATGGACTCTGAACTGTAAAGAGCTGAGTCCAGATAAGTGGCAAGAGATTGTGGAAAAACAAGCTCTTGGGAATATGGCTCAGGAAATCAAAGTTTGTGGCTGGAAGGGGCTGTGGAGGCCGCCTATTTCAACTAGGAGAACAAGCAGAGATCCAGGGGAGAACAGTCCAAAGGTTACACAGAAAGTTCCTGGATATTAATTTCTATTGTCCGTTAACTGAACATAGAGCTCCCTTTTTCAGGGAATTAATGGAATCCAGCTCTAAGAACTGAGGATCTTTCTGAGCCCACATCTCCCATTGTGCTGAAACTCTCCATTTCTACCTTATAGCTTTCACAAGACACTAGTTTTAATGTACGATGATCAATCCGATCTTTTCCTAACATTTTAATCGGCTTCTCTCCCCTGTCTTTCTGTCTCCGCAGTCCTTCCGCCAAGGTGTCTCAGCTTTTGGGACCTGGCGTCTTTTTCTGACCAAGTGTTTGAATGTCCCAGTCCACATTCCACCCCTGCAGAATCAGAAGAGCCGCTTCGGCCCTGATTCTTCCTCTTAGTTCCTGAGGAAAATCCAGACTCTGCCCGGGGGAACAAACTGAATCCTGAACTTGAGGACCCCGGCAGGTGTGAGGTGCAGAGAGGGCAAGAACAAGAGGGAGGCCTGAGGCCAATCCACAAACAGAAGAACAATTCCCCGCAGGTCAAGTGGAAGGTGAGAAGAGAGAACGCGATACAGGGACATAAGCAAGGCCACCCGAGGCCAGAGAATGACAAGCTGGGTGCCAGCAGGTGGGAAAGCTCCTGGGGTAAAGCCTAACGGACCTGAGGGAGCTTCAGCAGACAGGCGGAGAGGTCAGGCAGGCTGGAGAAATGGGGGAGACTTTCTTGAAGAAAAAGGGTGTCAGGGAGGCCTCCTTTGAGGAGCAAGAGAGCGGCTCCCCGAGGCTGTGCGACCCCAGGACGGTGCCTCACCTGGGGCCCTGCCGCGGCGATCTGGGCCGCTGCCTCGGCCCGCGCCGCCCGGGCACAGCTCGCCAGTACCACGAACCCGGAGGGGTCGCCGGGCGCGGGCTCTACCAGGGCCGCTTTCACAGACGTAGTGCCCAGGTCGACACCGAGAATGACCGACCGTGCAACCATAGCCTGTGAGAGCGATGCAGCCAACGCTTCAAAGGGCCACACAGCTGACGTCCGAGTAGTAGCGCCCCCTCCCGCACACTCCACCCGGCTTCAAGGCTCCGAGGCGGGGCCTCGCCTGCCAATCCTTCAGCCACACCCAACATGGAGGCCTCTCGCCTTCCCATTGGTTAAGGAAAGCGGATCTTCGCGGCAGGTCCTGACTATAGGCGGAGAGGGGTGGAAGGCGGGATCTAGAGAGCCTGGTCCCGCAAGGCCGCAGCTCCAGGGCAGCCAGCGCTGCCTGGACCTCGTTTACCGAACTAGCGCGGGATTCGCGGAGAGGTCCTGGGCGCTCCAGGAGTCTCTGTTTCCGTAAAAGGGGCCTAATTCTCCCTCACACCCGAGCCCTCATCCCTGCCAAGGCACGTGCGCCCCTCTGCTCCGCCCCAACGCTGCCCGATTGCCCGGCTACGACTAAACTACAGTTCCCAGAGTGCATCGTGCCGAAATCTGTACACGGAGAATCAGGTGGCTGGAGTCAGGTGACTGCTGGCCCGCCTTCACCCCAAGTCTAGCCCGCCGGGAGAAGCGGGTACAGTCAGAAACGGCTCCTGCGTGCCGTGTGTTCGGTTCCCGGGGCCTAGAGGATCTCAAGAGAGCCGGCGCGGCCCCAAGAGCCTCCCCCCATTTCCTAGGCGGAACCCCAGAGGGCTGGGCTAAAGGCTGGCACAGTAAGTCGGTTGAGCACTTTGCCGCCCGTCTAGTTCTCCTCCAGCCGCGCCGGAGTACCATCACCTACCCGCAGTCCCGGCCCTGTGACACCGGACAGCTTCGAGGTTGAAGGGCCCGCATCGCGGTGAGCAGAGGCTGGGGACATTGGGCTGCTTGGCGCTGTGGGTGGCTCTACCCTAGTGCAAGTGTGAACTCCTTCCTCGCCTTCTGGTTAGTTGCCTCCTGAATCCGGGTCGCGGAGTTGCCAGATTACTTTGGAGAGAGGAGATGCTGAGAAGACCCTAACAGGAACTCCAATTGGTGTGCCGAGCGCGGGTCTGGGCTTTGGGGAACTGGGCATGATGAGACCCTGCCCTGCATTCTGGGGCTTTCAGACTGGAGGAAAAGATGACAAATGACTGGGCCCTGCCTTTTCAACAGAACTGAGAAAAAATAACACCTATGCTTTATGAGCCCTTGCTAGGTGCCCTAGGCAACAGCAATGATCATTTTACAACTATGTTTCTCAACCTTTTTTCCTAATCAGCCCCTCCCCACTACCATGAAATTTTAATACCACTAATTAACTCTGTTTGTGAACTGTGGCACTTTGGAAGGCCACAAGCCATGCTTTACATTTCATCTCATTTAAAAGTCGTATGATGTAGACTCACTCCCTGTTTTACATTAGGAAATTGAAGCTTGAGGAGGTTAAGTCGCACCCAAAGTCACACAACTAATAAATGGGGAGCCCAGGCTCAAACCTGTGCATTCCGTCTGTAGGGTACACATTGCTTGCCACTTTCTGCATTCTCCAAAAGGAGACTCATGAAGTTCCAGGTTATAAAACAGTTGACAGAATTCAGTCAGATACCTGACAGGAGCTGGAGACCCCGGCCAAGGGTTCTCCCGGGATAGATGGTTTGGGAGTGGGAGACTTCTTAAAGTGGTATCTGAATGAGGCCTGGAAGATACAACTTAACACAAGAAGAGGGGCATGCCTGACTGAGCACCTTGTCATGAAATTCTTCATTTCTACCTTGTAGCATTCACAAGACCTAGTTTTAGTGTATAGCTATCAATCTGACTTTTTCTGACTTTTTAATCGACTTACCTCTCAATGTCTGTCTGTTCTGATGTCTTTTCTCCAAGGTATCTCAGCCCCTAGGCCTGGGAGACCTTTGCTAAGCAAATATTTGAGTTTGTCAGTCCACATTCCACTCCTGCAGGATGAGAGAAGAGTTGGTTAGGCCTGATTCGTACCTGATTTCCAAAAGAAAATCTAGACTCTACCCCGAGGGACATTCTGAATCCTGAACTTGAGGACACGGGCAGGGGTGAGGAGCAGAGAGTGGCAAGAGTGAATGGGAGACCCATGGTCATTCCAGACACAGGAGAGCAATTTGCTACAGGTCACAGTACAGAAAGTGGGTGGTAGAAGGCACGGCGATACAGTGCCAAAGGCAAGGCCTCCAGAGGAGGCCAGAGAGAAGAGGTCAGTGTCAGCAGGTGGGAAAGCTCCTGAGACAAGACCTAACCAATCAAAGGGAGCTGCATCAGGCAGAGAGGCCCCTGGAGGAGGCAGGGAAACGCAAAGGTCAAACAGCCTGGAGCAGTGAGGAAGACTTATTTGAAGGGAGGAGGGTATCAAGACATTCCTTGAGGCCTTTTGGGAAAACTGAACCCAGAGGGATGTTTCCACACAGACCTCTCCTAGCTCTCCTGACAGGAATCCCCAGAAGCTGTCAGGTGGGAAGGCCTAGGCTCTGTGAGCTGAGGCGGCATGTATAGACCAGGCTGCAGATATCCGTGCTGACTTGCCCCATCTTGACGCAAGGTTCACCTGCTGTGGGGCGGGGGGGGGGGGGGGGGGGGGGGGGGGTTATGGGTGTTATTTAGTGCATCTCCCTCGCTTCACCAGTGAGTGTCTCCTGGGCTCATCTGGGGCTTATCCCTCACTGGCTCCCCATTATGAGTGATCCCTGCTAGTCCTGGAGGGACTTAACCAAATGTCAGGTGGTGTCATTAGCCCCTTAGGCTTTTGTCCCACGACAGGGAATAAAATTAATTTCCTTAAGGTTTTTAGGTTCACAAAGTCAAATATCTGACCACAGTTTGAATAGCTTTTTGGAAAAAAGAACCCCCAACCAATAAAAGCACATTCTTTCTTTTTGTTAACTAGGTTGCAAGAAGCAGTTGAAGAGGGAAAAATTCAGTGTTTGTTTACTTCCTTGGAGTGGAACCTTACACGACACACTTAGCCTCTTTGAGCCCATTTCCCCACATATCAAAGACAACTAAGTCTCCCCCCATCCAGAGTCTCCTCCAAGCTGCTGGTACAAAGCCCATGAGGTCACAGGTGTGAGGCGGAAGTCCTTTATGAACTGTCTGTGCCATGGTCCCAAATGCCATACTGTCCCCTTGTTGCTGAGCTGCTGCAACTTTAACCTGAACTTGTCCTGCTGTTTGTTCTTTTTCCTAGTTCTTTGAGATTGAAGAACATGAGAAGCACTTGGCTGACCATCTTTATCCTTCTTCCCCTGAAGTTCATAGAGAAATGTGGTAAGTTTAGAATGGGCCACCACTTTGTGACAAGGAAGAGGGTGCTATAGAGTAAGTAGCCAGACCTGTTTGTAGCCACGGGCTTAGGATTGTCCAGACCACATGGGCCTGCTGCCCATCGGCCAACAACTCGACAGTGGAGCAGACCCAGGTCTGGAGTCCGGGAGTTTTACAGGGAGCCAGATGGTTCCAAAATAATTGGCCCTTTTCCACGGGGTCCCTGTTACCTTTCCCATACCACCAAAGTCAGACCGCGGAGCTCCAAGAGCTCTTTGCTGTGTAGACCTCACAGAGGGACTCATGTGGGTCCTGGGAGGTTCAGCAGAAGCAAATGAAGGGGCCACCTTGTTGTACCTGGTTCTCTCCGGTTCAGATACCTGAGGAGTCTGCCTGGCATCCCCTTGTAAGATGAAAAAGCCTTCTGTCAGGCACCATGGAGCAGGGTGCAGCAGCCCAAGAGGAGCCGGGGGCCTCACGGAACACAGGCTGGTTGTGGCCAAACACCTCACGGTTTGCGCACCTTTGTGAGGCTTGATGTTCAGGGCGGGGCCCTTAGAGCCCTGCATCATTCTATCAGCTCTCCTGCTGCCTAAAACAGGGAGATTCCTTCCATGAAGACAAAGGAGAGTGTTTACCACTCCTAGAACTGCAGGCCAGTTATTTTGATCATCAGCTTGGCTGGCATCAAAAATCAAATATATTTTAAAATCCCTAACAATTTCAAATGGACCTTCTACAAGCAATAGAGATCCTGCAGGAACTTCCCAAGAACCACACACAGTGGCTGTGTCGTTACAGTTATCTGGCCTCTTAAAGGCTCTTCTAGGTTTGTTAAACAGACGGTCACGTTATTTTGCCATCACACTTTGTGGATAAGCAATTTCCAAGAAAGGCAAGATTGCACCATGAAGCCTGGTGTTCCTCAACACGGATTCCAGAGCCCCACTCCAGACTCGCGGGATCGTATTCTGTGGGCCTGAAAGGCCCAAGTGTATGTCACACCCGCATTAGCAGGCTTTAGATAAAGCCTTAGGCAAGAAGATCATATCCAGCCACCATCACCTCAATTAAACAGAGGTGAAACAGGCCTAGGAGGGGGTAAAAGCCTTCCCCAAAGTCACGGAGCTATAAAGCAGCAAAGGTGGGACCTGCATAGGATCCCTGCTCCATTTTATTACTTTGCCTCCTTTCCTGAATGTCCTTGAAAAAGAATGGTGGAAACCACCATGACATCAAGTGAGTGGAACTGGGTTTCTGACCTCATTCTTCCATGCCTGTCTTCTCTTTGCTTTGGGGATAGGTCATCAAGGACTGGATGAGATGATTGGCCTTCAGAGTGTCTGGTCTCCAACTTCTCTGGGTGGAATCTTGAGGCACTACAACCTAGTGGCAAGAACCAGGCCTTGAATCCTGGGTTTGAATCCTGCCTCCATCACCAAGCCGTTTGGGCAAGACACATTCCCTCTCGGGCTTCTCAGTTTCCTTATATCTGAATTGGGAATGAGGATACCCACCTCTCACTGTTACAATAATTAGAGAATGGGTTAACAGTGTTAGCAGAGTGGGTGGGGTAGAGAGCACAGGGAGCAGTGCCAATAAGTATTTCTTCAAAAAAAACCCAGACTCTCCGTAGGGGAAACTGGGGTGGTTTCATTAGGACTTATTTGGTAATTCTGATGTGATGTCCAGAGACTCTTGTTCCAGGGCAAACTGTAAAACGTGCTTTTGCTGGGTATGATGCACACTTTCCTTCCATCTTGGGCTCAAAAATGCTCTGCAGTGTTTAAATGATGATAAGAACAGTCACCCGCAATTATTTAGCACTTAGGCCATGTGGAGGGTGGGTCACAAACACCAGTGCGATGTGTAGTGCCATTTTCCCCATTTTACAGGTGAGGAAGGAGAGGGCCATAGAGGTTCAGAACCTTATCCATGGTCACACAGCCAGGACGTGACAAACCCGGGATGAACTGCGTGACTTCAGAGCCCAGTCTCCCAGCTTCTAGGAGCCACTATCTTCCCTAGCTCTAAGTGAGGGGAGAGTAAACATTCCCTGATCTAGTTCTTCAGGAGTTTCACAGCTTCCTCTTTTGAAATGCAGAGACTGGATGAGCAAAGGCGTGCAGATCTCTCATTCACCCTGACCACAGCCCAGTAGAACCCTAGGGCCCCAGAGCCTATGCTATGGGTGGACCCAGAGGTGTGGGTGGCTGCCTGGCATCACTTTCAGTATCCCTGTCCTGGGCACTGACTCATCAGTGGTTCTGCTTATCTAGTGTGGTCCTCAACTCTACAAAGAAAGTAACATCAGGGGCTTTAAGCACTACTGCCCCCTACCTCCCCGGTGCAAGCCCAGAACAAAGCCTGGGGTTGACAGCAGAGTGTGAAAATGGGGCAGAGTTGCCAAAGCCGCCTCCAGGCCCTGAGGCTACCCTTAAGGGAGGGATCACCCTACTCTGCTCTGAGAAGCTTGGCCTCTGCCAGGGCCAGCATGAGGTGGGGACATACCTACTCAGAGATACCCAGCCAGATGGCTGTGCCGAGAGCATGGCACTAGAGACCTCAGACCGTGGGAGTGTCAGCTTGGAGGCTTACAGGTGCAGGTGACAGAGCCTATGTCTGCATTCACGTGTGCAGGGCTAATATGGGCCCCTCAGGGGCCCCAGGCAGCCAAACCAGGCCCGGGAGTACAAGATCCTGGCCGGCCGATTCCTTTGCAGGAGATGAGGTTACTATTCCTGGAGATATTCAGGCAGAGGAAGAGCAACTTCCAGGTAGGAGTGATAAAAAACGATCAGAAAGTGGAGGTTAAAGTAGGGAACTTTTAAGTTCCCTTCCAATCTGAACATCTAAAAATTTCAGATCTCAGTTCCCATCTGCCTAGAGGGGAATGGGGAGAGAGAAACAAGTTTTGCTCCCTCTTTCCTCTGTGGACTCCCTTCCTGCCCGGTCTAGATTTGTGACCTTAGCCCTTGCATAACTGTGAAGGCCCCGAGGTAAGAGAGGTGAGGTAGACAGGTGTTTGGGGCTTTGAGCACACCTGGAGTAGGGGTGGGGTGTGAGTGTGGGCTGCTCAGAGAACACAGGAAGAAGTCAGGGAGAAGCCGGCTCACTCTGGTTCTATAGCCAGGTTGCTCTAGGGTATTTGGCCTTTTCCCAACCTGCTTCCTCCCTCAGTCCCAAGGCCTATTCATCTACCTTATCCTGCATCAACACCTTAATGCCAAGAAGAAATCCCTGATGTGATCTGTGGTGTTCACCATTCCCCCCCCCCCCCCCGCCCCGCTTCTCCCCATAGTCAGCCTCAGGAAGTGGATGAGTGAATTGGTTTATCTAAATTAGTACGAGCCCAAAGGGGTTCTTTAGAAATGGGATAGCTGGGCCCTATGTGTCTCTGGGAGTACAGGAAGGGGCTGGAGCAGTTCTGCAGGACCATTTTAGCTCCATGAACCGAGGAGACCCCTGCGCTTTCCCATCTGAAGAGGTGGTTCAAGTCCACGTTTCCCAGTCCCAGATCAATGCTTGAATTCCTGCATGACAATTTTTGGGGCTCCTATCTCTGGGTAACTCAGCCTCAGAGGCTGTCGGTGTGGGGAAGAGGAAGCTATACTGTTTCCTGTTCAGGCCTGTGTCTGCCTCTGCCTCTCTGGCAGCAGGAGGGGAAAGAGTATAATGAAGGCTCTGGCTTCCAGGTCCGTCACTTATCCCCCTGGACCTCCATGTCTTCTCCTAGAAGATGGTGGTTGCCGTGAGTCAGTGCTCATAAGTTCGGATGTCAGGGATCCTTGTCCCAGCTTTTCCTTGTGAGCCTGAGTTCTCTGACCTGATGACTTGTCATTGGTTTGGGTCCTTCCAGAGTCAACCATCGACCTCACTGTCCCTCCCGCTGTGAAACTGGAAAATGGAAGCTCAGCCAACATCAGCATCACCCTTCAGTAAGTTCCCAGGCCCAACTCTACCATCAGCCGAGTTCATTCACCGTATGGCTGGGTCTGGGCTGACTCCTGGCTCTGTCTGTTCATATTACAAGTGTGATGCCTTTGCCTTTTCACTTTAAGAAAAGCTAAGGGGTGTCTGGGTGGTTCAGTCAGTTAAGTGTCCAACTTCAGCTCAGGTCATGATCTCACAGTTGACAAGCTGAGGCCCCACATCAGGCTCTCTACTGACAGCCAGCTCAGAGCCTGGAGCCTGCTTCGCATTCTGTGTCTTCTCTCTCTGCCCCTCCCCTGCTCACTTGCTCTCTCTCACTCTCTCTCAAAAATAAATAAACGTTAAAAAAAAAAAGACAAGCTAGAGAACCCTAGGGTCAGTGGATATTCTATATGATATTACCAAGTCCCTTCTCTCCTGAAAATATAAAATAAACCTTAAAAACAAAAACAAAAAGACAAACCAGAGAAGGAGAGGTGATAGTAGATGGTCTGCAGATTGAGGTCCTAGAGTCTTTTCCCCCAACCTGCTGACTCCTTGTTTCTGGTCAGAAGAGGAGGAAGGGGGATTCTGCATAGAGACATGAGCTTTTTCCCCTTCTGAAAGATGTCTTTAAAGTGACCAGTAGTTAATGTCAGACCTCAGAGTGGTCCTTTCCAAGGCTCTAAGTATTTGCTGAGAGCCCTGAAGGTCAAGGGACAAGGAGGTGAGCTGCTCACCAGCACTTCTGAGAACGTCCTGAAAGCAGAAGTGAACGTATTGGGTGGATTCCATTCATGGCAACACTCATGCTTAGCCTTGTCTGAGTCTTCTTACTGACCTCTGCTGGTTCAGGGGTGAGGTGCTGACCGAGTACAGACTTCCAGAGAGCTTACCTCCTCTTCCATATCCTTCACTGCTTTTCCCTACTCTTGCCTCCCAGCCGGGAGGATTACCCGAGATGAAGAGATCTAGAACCCTGTCCTTTACTCTTTACCTTTCTCCCTTTTCTTCACCTCTCCCGGGCAGTCTGATCTCAGACCAAAGCTTTGATAGCAAGGCTCCCTAACCAACCTACATTCCGTCCCAAATCCTGCCACCTCTCTACGTTGGATACCTTATAAACAGGCCATCCCCTCACCACATCGTCCCTCTCCAGAATCCTTGAGTGGCTTTCCATGGCCTTCCAAATTAACTCCAGGCCTGTACATCCACACTTGAGAATACCACCAGCTACTCCCATCAGACACATCTGGCTTTCTGGGGACACTCCTATCCCTGCTCAAACCTGAGTCCTTGGAAGCCTTCTCCACCAGAGCAAATGGCATGGTCCTGTTGGCCTCTGGACACCTTATCTGGCAGTCACGGTCAATTCCCCACCTTCTCGGGTTCTCATCTGCCCCCATCGGGCTTCTTGTCTCCTAATACAGATAGAAAGCTCCTAAGGAGCAAGGACCTCACCTCTCCACTCAGGGCCTAGCACATGGCACATTTAACCCTAATTGCTCGAGAAGTGACAGGCCCATGTGAAATCCAGAGGGTTGGTTAAGATGTCATGCGTCCAGCTTCTCAACAGTAATCAGACTCTTGTCCTCCACAGGCATCCGTTAAATGCAACCTTGGTGATCACTTTTCAAATCACATTTCGTTCAAAAAATGTTACTATCCTTGAGCTCCCTAATGAAGTAAGTAATGAATTTTAACTGATGGGTGAAGAACTGCTGGGTAACAAAACAGTCTTTAAGTAGATACCTGTAGAGACAGGCCACCTTGTTTTTATACTGTGAGCGGCCCCTGTTCCATCATTCTAGAAATCTCTGATTTTGGCTTTGTTGGTCTCTTTGAGGATGGGCATTTAAGCCACATAGATGGAATTAGGAAGATGGTGGTAAGAAATTTGGGCAAAAATGGTTCTGGGAATGTAGAAGTAATTCTTAAGATGCTTTTCTAAAATTTTGCTATGTAGAGGCCATTAGTGAGCCAACAGTATTGTCCCTGCTTGAAAACTTGTTAGAAATGCAGAATCACGGGCCCCATCCGAGACCTACTGGTTCACAATCTGCATATGAGCAAGAGCCCCAGATTATTTAGATCCACACTGAAGTTTGCAAAGCACTGTCTGAGATTCCATTTGTTGAGTGTTATTTCCAAAATCCAGTGCCAAATGCTGTCTATTGATCACTGTTCATCACCCTTATGCATTTATATGTTAATATACACACTGCTTCTACCTTACCAACATTTGAGCCAATTACCAACTGACTAGTTAAAAAATATCAATAGGGGAGAATAATGTAGAGAATCAACGGTGGTTTGAAAAAAGAAAAGGACAAGATAAATGCAGGGATGACGATGAGGCATGTCACAGGCCCTGTGTGGTTGTAGAAACGGGCTTCAGATTGGCTCTGATGCCCCTGGCAAGAAAACGGCACTAAAGCATGAGATCGGATAAAGCGTGTCAACCTAGAAGGGCCTTGTGTGGGAAGGGAGTCCCCTCTCACCCTTTGGTGAACACCACACCTCATTAGAGTGAGCCATTCTCCACAGCCTCCCCCTGTCCCGGGGTATGAAGCCTGCTGCAGGGTAAGAAAAATCACTGGTTCTTACAGCAGATTGTGGCACCCAGTTGAGGAGTGTCTTGATCCACAGATCAAATGTAGACTCTGAGCAATGACACTGATCACCCAGTTTCAGGTGAGGCCTGAAAGCATCATCTTTTCAAAATCAGTGAAAGTCAAACATCATTTTAAGCAAAAGAAGCCTGACACAGTAAAGTAGATTGTATGCTTCTTTGTGCATAAAGTGCAAACACAGTCAAGGCGAATCTGTGGTGTTGGTCAGCATAGTGGTTTCCCCTTAGGGCTCAGGTGTGACTGGAAAGGAGCCGAATAGGGCTTCTGGAATGCTGGAAGTGTTCCATTTCTTGACCTGAGTGCCTGATCTTGGTTTGTGGATATTACTTCATCAAGCTGTGATATGTATACTTTTCTGCACATAGGTTATAATTCATTTTCATAACAATTTTAATGGTGGATAACATTGTATGTTATATAATCTTTTAAAAAGCGGGTGGAAGTCAAATCCAGTTGTAGAATGATCCATATGGGTACCAACCCACTTTCCAGGGGCCAACCTATATGGCCCCTCCCATCCAGTTCTAGCCAATCCTGTCTCCTGCCTTTGGAAACCACTGGTTAGAACTAGGGGCCTGACCTGTGAGCCTTGGACAAGGTACTCACACAGCACATCACAGATTCCTCACTTGTAGACATAAAGTTAATAAAGTCTGCTTGACAGAGTCATGAGGATTAAAAGCTGTAGCAAGTATAAAATGTCTAGGATTATACCTGGCATGCTGAATGAAAGCACAGAGGCAAAGATAGTGATAAATTTTGCTATAGACCTAAAACTGCTCTTAAAAATAAAGTTTATTCATTTAAAGAAAAAAAGATAATGCTAGTTATGATTTCCTGCTGCCTTGTACCAGTTGCTTTCCAGTTGACCAATTTTCTTCCTTCCTAGTTCCAGAAGGGACGTAGTGGCCTACTTACAAACATACAAACAACATTGCCAAGAAAACCCGTTAGAAATAAGAAAAAATAGCCAAGAGTGGTACACATCATGAGGATGTAGCTTGTAAGAGGTGGGCCATGAGTTAACTCTGGCCTTTGCAGCAGCCGCTGGTACCATTCCATTTGTTCCGCCAAAGCCCCCTGATTTCTAGTGCTAAAAACAAAAAGCCCTTCCAGGGTCCTCATAAAGAAGCCACCGAATTCTAATGGCTGCATCCTCACAGTGCCTGTGATGTGAGTAGAGGTCTGGGGCCCAGAGCATTACCCAAGGAGCAAAGGTGGGGAGACAGTTTGGTTCAGCGAAGGTACCCTCCTGCTCCCTGCCACACTCAGGGCATTCAAGAGTTTCCAGGGGAAACCCTGGGAGATCAGATGTTGCAGGCAGGCCTCTCTGTTTCTTACAGAGAACTTCCTGTAAATATTAGGCAGAAACGAGGGTGAGAATGTTCTCCCTGACAAGTGTGTGTTGTGCACGCTATTTCTGTGTTGTCACGTGGCAGCCACACTGGGGCAGATATCGTGTGTGGGTATTGAGGAGCCTTCCATAATACCAGAAGTAGAAGTAATAGCAGACGTAGTGTTTGTGGACATTATGTCATTCATAGCAATCCTGAAAAGTAGGCACTTCTGTTATCCCCTTGTACAGGTGAGCAAACTGAGGCCAGAGCTTGAATAACTTGTCTGAGATCAAGTTTAGTAAGAGGAGAAGAGCTGTCCCGACTTCCCTGGGAGTTGAGGCCTGAGGACAGGGCTATCGTTCTGCTCAGAAAGTCTAACACACAGGTGTTGGGGGGGTGGGTCTTGAGGCGGTGGGTAGTTGGCCCAATGTTTCTCCCTTTCGTTAGTAAGCTCTGGGAAGGCCCAGACCATGTGGTCTGTCCCACCGTTCCCTAGAGTATAGCCGGGAACTGGACACTCAGGTTCCAATTACTATGCAGTACTGGATCGAACTGAGTTTTCCTAACAGGTTGTGGTGCCTCCCGGCGTGACAAATTCCTCTTTTCAAGTGACGTCTCAAAATGTTGGACAACTGACCGTTTATCTGCACAGAAACCATTCCAACCAGACCGGGTAGGCTGGCCCCAGGCCACGTAGGCGTTAAATGATGAGACGGGGGCAGGCGTTGTTGGGCACACGGGGGCTTCCTTCAAGCACAGCCTCAGCTCATCCCAGTCCCCAAATTCCTTCTAGCCCGAGGATCCGCTTCTTGGTCATCCACAGCAGTGTCGTCAGCATCATAAACCAGGTGATTGGCTGGATTTACTTTGTGGCCTGGTCCATTTCCTTCTACCCTCAGGTGATCACGAACTGGAGGCGGAAGAGGTAAGCAACTCGCTAAACCTTACCTGCCATCACTTGGGGCTGGTGAGATGGGAGGCATCCTGGAGGGGCTGTCGGCAGCGTGGGTTCAGACTTCTCCTCTGCCCTCCTCTCCTCCTGCCCTTTCTAGAAAGTTGTCCAGTATGAGAGCTCTAAGAGCCTGTGGCAGGACTTGCAGCGGAGGCCTGTGGTCTGTTCGGCCCCTCCCTGTGAAAGCAAGAGTGGGGTTTCTCAGGAGGCAGAGAATGTGCTGGGAGGGAGCCCACCAAATCTGCTCTGTTGTTGGTCCACCAGCCCTGCAGGCGTTCGCATCAAGTCCTTCGGCCTTGGCATTTAAACCGCCCCCCTCCCGCCCCCGACTTAAAGACAAAGTGGGCCTGGAGTTACGTCTTTGAATAGCACACCCAAGCCATCCTGCAGTTACCCGGCCTCACGGGCCACATGGCCGCACAGGGCTGCGGAGCTAGGAGCAGGGACGCAGAGGCTTCCTCTCCGGAGGAGACCTCCACACTTCCTCCGGGGCTGGGACTTGAGGAGACCGAGACCAGGGTGGGAGGGAGGACAGGACACTGGTTCCCAAGAGGGTGGGATAGCATGCCATCAGCTGGGGTGTGCAAAGGGACCTGAGGACAGTGCTCTCCTTGAGAGAGCTGGGCCCTCCTCCCCACGTGTTGGGAGCTCTGTCTGCTCCCCGCTCCAGTCTCACCTTTTGCCCTGCTTTGCCTCTTCGTCACTCCCTTGCCAGTGTCATTGGTCTAAGCTTTGATTTCGTGGCACTCAACCTGACGGGCTTCGTGGCCTACAGTGTGTTCAACATTGGCCTCTTCTGGGTGCCCTACATCAAGGTAATGCCCACTGCGGCCCGGCCCCAGCTCTTTGGTAGCTTGGCTGCACCTCACCCCCTGGCTTCTCCCGACCCCGCAAACAGGAGCAGTTTTTCCTCAAGTACCCCAATGGAGTGAACCCCGTGGACAGCAACGACGTCTTCTTCAGCCTGCACGCGGTCATCCTCACCCTGGTTATCATTGTGCAGTGCTTCTTGCACGAGGTGAGAGATGAGCTGGTTCCCACCTCACTTCAGGTGCCGACACCCACCACCACCCCCCGCCACCCATTCCTCCTGTTTCATAGAAGACACAGAAACGGCCTCTGCTTTCTGGGGCCGAGATAAGAGGCCCGGGCCCACACTGGACACAGGGAACACCCATGAGCCCAAGCCCTCAGGACCCCCAGGTGCGGGGAGACGGACACAGAGGCAGTGACAACCCAGCGGGTTGAGAGCTGAGCGAGACGGGAGGACAGGGCAGCTCACGGAGGCCCTGACACAACCACACAGGACGGGGAGGGCATCAAGGAAGCGGCGCCGAGGTGTGGTCCGCGGTGTAAGTGACGCTGCCGTGGTAGGGGCAAGAGGCCAGGGGGCAGCCCCGGTGCGAGGACGGAACTGTGAAGGCCAAGGGGCAGTGAGAGGAGCTCTGACCACAAGCTCTGATGCTTGTGGCTGGGGCTCAGGGTCCCGGTGAGGGGAGCAGGGTCCTAAGGGTCTAGAGCACAAGGCTGAGGAGAACGGCCTCCGCTGTATTCCTGAGGGGGGGCTGCTGGGTGTCTCAGCAGGGAAAGGCACCCTCAGGCTGGTTTTTAGGGGATCACTGACAGGCAGGTTTTCTCTCCATTCCCTGTGAGTGTAGTGCTTCCCTCAGGGAACTCCTTTGGCACATGCAAGGCGAGCCAGGGACTGCTTGGTTCCCATCGTCATGAACCTTCTAGGCTGCCTCTCTGTGAGGCCTGGTGAAGGAGACCTGCACTGGGGAAGGGTAGGGGTGAGGGATGGACTCCAGAGACAATCAGGCTCCACCTGGATCACGGAACAAGCCTGGGCTGGAATGATGGGGCACCAGGCCTCCCATGTGCTGGGCGCCAAGTTCCCAGCTCGCGGAGGCCTCAGAGAGGTACCCAGTTCTACAGTGTGGGAACAAGCAGTGGGTGGGCTTTGGAAAGTCCAAGAATGACTGAACTAGAGATCCTGGTAATGACAGCGGTGTGGTTGGCACTGGGCTCTCAACCCCTCCTGCCTGCCCCCTGCCCTTCCCTCTCTCCATCCTCCTCAGCGAGGCAACCAGCACGTGTCCTGGCCTGCCATCGGCTTCCTGGTGCTCTCGTGGCTCTTCGTGCTCGTCACCATGATTTTGGCTGCAGTCGGGGTAACCACCTGGCTACGGTTTCTCTTCTGCTTCTCCTACATCAAGCTCGCGGTGACGCTGGTCAAGTATTTTCCACAGGTACCTCTAGGGCCTTCCTTTTCGCATGGCCATTAGCATGGGAGGGATGAGCTACAGACCCCAGGTGCTGCTCCCACGGGGCAGCCTGGAGCCAGGCTGAGGAGGATGAATGGAAGGTTGCAGTGGAAGCCATGAGCACATCCAGACCAGGGCCAGGCAGAACGCCGGCCACAAGCACTGCTGCTTTGCCTGGAGCAGCTCTGAGAGTCAAGCTGTGCAGGACACTTGGTCTCGTCATCGTGATCCTTCCTAATGGCTTCCGTTCTGCCCCCCATTACCACAACTGATGGCCCTGATGAGCAGCAGCAGGGTACTTGGGAAAGATTAGGTGAGAGGAGGCAGCCCGGCACTGCAAACTCTGACCTCTGTCTCCCATCCAGAGATGCCTTCCTCAGAGGTCCCATCCAGGGTCCACTCTAGGGGTCCTCAGCATGCTCCCTCAAGTACTAGGTTTCATTCAGATGCAGAGTCAAACACAGCTTGCCCAGTAGCTCAAATGGCCCAAGACAGAGGAAGGTGTGAAATAGCTGTTAATGGTGGGCTCCACCCCTGAATCTGGGGCCTCCTGTAACCTACCCCATCTCCAATGGAGAAGCCCCCTTTTCAGTCTCCCAATGCAGGAAACCTTATATTTCCTGGGCTCAGGAAGGATAGATAGCATTTTGTCAGAGTCAAGGTCCGTCTCCTGGAGGGCATGGAAACAGATCGAGAGCCTTAAGGATGAGCAGGACTTAATTGTGTTGATGAGAGAGGAGGGGGCATTCCAGGCTGGGGGCAGCCTGCACAAAAGCACATGCAGAGGAGGTGGGAAGCAGCAAGGAGACCTCGCTGGCTGAGCAGGACTGAAACTCAGAAGGTAGGGCCAGGCCCTAGGGGGCTGGGGAAGAAGGCTTTGGAGTTGGGGGGTAGGCCTTGAAGGAACGGGGCCACAGTTCCTGAGTGTGGGAAGGCTTGGGCCTCGTCAGTCTAAGAGGAAGGAACCCCACCTGGAGATGCTTGGAAATGTCCCAAAACTGCAGAGGTGGCTGCAAGCATGAAAGAGGGTGGGAAAGGACAGAGAAGGGGATCTTACAGGTGGCTGGCTGACCGAAGACCACTATAGAGGCCACACCCTCCCTCTTGGATGATAAGGTTGCCCCAGTCAGAGAAGTCCAGAGGGTTCAGGTGTTGGAGGAAGGATGTTGGGCAGTGGCAGCAGAAAGTGGGGGGATGTCCACGTAGACCCACCCACTAGACCTAGGAAGCCCTAGGTGGAGTCCCCAGAGCCTCGCCAGAGCTGTGGTGGGAGTCCAGTGCACCCTACTGATGGGGAAAAACTGAGGTGAAGAGAACTCAAGTAACTCTCCCAAGATAACCTCCTTTCAGGGGTAGAGCTGGGTCCCAGAGCAGACAATCAGACTCCTAGCCTATGTTCATAAGCACAACATGAAGTCCAGGCTGAGTTTAGGAAGACCCTTCATCAGAGATAAGAAGAAAAATTAATTGCTAGAAAACCAGGATGGGTTTTGTCCCAGAACAGGAAAGGATGAAGACTATGGAGAAGCAACATCTCCTGCTCCTTCACAGCTGCGAGGTGCAGGGATGGGAGGGGGAGAGCTGTTGGCTGTGTGCCCAGATGAGACCCCCTGGACCTGCCCACGCTGCTCCCTCTGCTGGCACAGATTTGTCAGAGCCCAAAGGTCACTGTGCTCTTTGGAGCCGAGACCCAAGCACAGGAGTGGGAGGAATTAGAGCTGCTTTTGTTTGAGCGGCGGTCACAAGGTGCATGAGGCAGCCACTCAGCCCCCTCACTGCTGTCCTTCTGTCCATCCATCTGTCTGCCTTCAGGCCTACATGAACTTTTACTACAAAAGCACCGAGGGCTGGAGCATTGGTAACGTGCTTCTGGACTTCACCGGGGGCAGCTTCAGCCTCCTCCAGATGTTCCTCCAGTCCTACAATAATGGTGAGTCAGCCAGCAGGCTGCCTGCCCATTCAGTGGGCTGCAGGCATAGGCCAGGGGCCAGGCTTCCTGGGATACCTCTACATCCCACCCCCGCTCCTGCAGCCTGGGAATCCAAGCCAGTCCCAGCGCCCAAGGTGACACTCACCTAGGGGCCTCGCAGCTGGAGGATTTGTGGTTTCCTGGACAGAGGAGGACCCTCCCCCTCCTGCAGCCCCATATATATGCTCCAGCTGCTTCAGGAGCTGCCAACCTCAAGCCAAACTCTGTCCCCTTTGCCAACAGACCAATGGACGCTGATCTTTGGAGACCCAACCAAGTTTGGACTCGGCGTCTTCTCCATCTTCTTCGATATTGTCTTCTTCATTCAGCACTTCTGCTTGTACAGAAAGAAACCAGGGTATGAGCAACTGAACTAGCACTCAGGGACCCAGCATAAATGGCCTCCCAGAAGGCTGGGGCAGAATCTGGAGTGCAGGGCTGGCCCAGTGTGCTGACTGTATCGAAGCAGTCTCAAACTGAGAGACCGCACAAACCCGCCTGCCTTCAGCCAGGTCTCTCCCAGGCCGGGCTGGGGAGGAACCTCCCTCTGAGACAGACACCAGATTCTGCTCTGATACGGAAAACCACACCGCTGACGGCCCCTCCCAGGCCTCGCCGACCAGGCCTCTCGCCCTCCTGCCCCTTGATGCCACCATCTTTATTTTCTTTAAGGCTTCAGGCAGCACATACGGGTTCTGACAGCCATCCCAGGCAGGATTGGGTGCTGAGCTTGGAGCCGAAGGCCTTGACCTAAGCAACCATTGTTTCTGGGAGCCGCTTGAAGGACTGACTCTGCAGTTGTGAACCAAGGGCGCTTTGCTGCCACTGCGGTGTTCCCAGAGACCAAGCAGCCTAGTAGTGCGGCCAGTGGACTCAGAGGTGCTGGTGGCAGAGGGGACAGAATATTGGGGTTAGGCCTTTGGGGTCCCTTCTCTGAAGGCCACATTCTCTGAGCACTCACCTTCATGACACTCCCACAGCTGAATCGCAGGTGACCCAGGCCAAAGTCTGGCAAAGAAACTATTTCTGAGCCTTCAGGTGCCAGCAGATTGGTTCTGAGCTAGGCTTATGCCCAACCCCTCTGGATCTTTATCACACTAACCCCCTTTGGATTTCTTGGAGGGATGTTTTGGAAGTGAGTGGCTTAAGTTGTTCACCTTCTGCCTACGTCCACTTTGCCAGAGTCCAGGGCCCCACATAAGCCCCTTCAACTGCTCCTCCTGCATCTGGAGTATAGGACAGACGGACACACACACACACACACACACACACACACACACACGTACACGTCTGTGCCTTAGAGGCCTATAAGACCTGCCAAATGGTGAGCATAGCTCCCCTAGAGGGGAGGGCTGGCCCCCTTCCCTCACTTCCCCCAGACCCCTACCTGAGCCTCACCAATTTTTTGGCTGTTCAGGAGCCTGACAAAGGGACTTAAGACCACCTCGCAGAATCCTCACGGGCCCAACCTTTATCCCACACTCCCCTCTCTCCTAGCCCAGGCAGCTCTCCTTCCTGTGGAAGGAGGGGAGGGTCCCAGGATGTGCCTTACCAGTTCACTCTCAGACTTTTTTTTTTTTTTTTACTACGAGATCAATGAGAGGTGCCTGTATCCTTAATTAAAACCTGATTTGTTTCCTTTCTGCACACTGAGCCTTTTGCCAGATGCAGAAGGCAGGTGTGCTGGCTTCAGAACCCCTTAGGACTTAGGGAAACAGCCCTACTCAGCCGTGAAAGGAAACACATGGGTTGTAAAGCACACTGATCCCGCCGTGGCTGCGTGCCAATCCAGCACCTCATCAGAGGAGCCCTCACGGGTAGTGCAAGATGCCCGCCTGCTCAGGGCCAGGTAGGTCCCAGAGGTACCATGTCTCTCTATGTCGCTCAAGCTGTGGTGGTGAGCACGGGCTGGATGGGTTAAGGGCACACTCTTCTCATTGGCGGGGGGGGGGGGGGGGGGGGGGGGGTTCATTTTCCAGATTCTTCCACTATCCAAATATCAAAGAATTTCAGGTCTTGTTTCCTGAAAGCAGAGATTGCAGGCTGACCAAGCCCGCAGACCTGTTTTACTGGGTGCCACCCTGCAAAAATAGGAGATTTCAAATTTCTAGTTTGAAGATTTGAAAAACTGGATTTGATGGTTGTAGGCGGGTCCGTGAAAGCCAGTACTTCCCAGAGCTGGTAGTGCAGCGCACTGGGCCAGCTGACCCCCGTCTCCTCGGAGGACAGCCTCTGGAATGTGGAGGTGCACTCCTGCCTGCGACAGACTGCATGCTCCCAAGAGTCTTTTTGGGGGGGGTCCCCACGAACCCGTCAGTGCCCATGAGTCCCCCCGGGGTGCAGTACGTCAGTTACACAGGGGAAGTTCGAAGTCCCCCGCCTCCAGTTCCAGTGAAGGTGCTTCCAGATGTTTCCACAGAGGCAGCCCTGGCCAGATAGCAACAGGCAGGCCTGGGAATAGCTGGGCTTCATCTCAGAAGTGGGTGGGGGCCATGCTAAGCCAGCCTGATGACCAGAACTCTAGCTGCCATCCACCCCCAGATATCCCGGCCCCGCGCCTCAGCAAAAACCCCTTTGGAATTCCAGCACTGTTTATTCAGGCACAAGTTGTCAGGTGTGGGCAGCTGCTTTCTGCCCCATTTCCACAGGAACCAGAGTAACACTGGTCATTCCCAGATGTGAATTAGTAAGCCAAGTTCAGAAGTAGAATTGGCACCTCCAAACAGTAAGATAAAAATGCTTTTGTATCAAAGTTGTGATTAAAAAAATATAAAGGTAAATGCACAGGCATAGAGGGAATGGCAATCCTGAGAACTGCCCTGAAATGTCAGCCTCAAACTTCGTCTGAATCTCGTAAGCAGGTGAACCCTGGGGAGGCCAGCGCCTCTCAGGGAAATGGGGGTGCTATAGGGTGGCCTGTGAGCCTGCCTGGCTTCCATCAGGCAAACCTCTGTAGCGCCTCTGGCAGTGTGTCAAGTCCCTGCTGGGGAAAGCAGGGAAGAATGTGGGGTACAGTCACTGCAGAGCTGAGACACAGGGACAAGGACAAGCCCTACAGTCGGGACTAAATGTGGGAAAGGCTGGCCCCACCTGGCATTCTCTGGCTTTGTGGTGGCCCTGAAGAAGTGGGGCCTCCTGCCTGTCTGGGCACTACTAAGGCCACGTGGCAGCAGAGTCTCGGGGCCAAAGCTGTGGTCACTAGAGACTGAACAGAATTCAGCTCCAGGCCCTTATTTCCCATCAGTGTGTGAGGGAGAGAGCTGGTCCCAGAGGCTTAGGCCAGTGGTGGGAAAGGGGAGGGAAGGCTAGGTCAGGCCGGGGACAGGCCTCTGGGACCAGCTCTGGCCTTTCGGAGCTGGGGCCCGGCACACATAAGAAGCCAGGACGGAGGCAGACAGAGCGTGGAAGTGGTGTCAATGCAGGCAGGCAGGCGCAAGTCAGGGACCGCAGCGGGCCGCTAGGACAGCATGGACTGCTGCACTGCCTTCTGCAGCGACTGCCGCGTCACCAGCAGGCGCACCACCTCCTCCGAGCGCTTGGTGAGCCGCTTCCGGGCTTGGTCGTGCGTGACCATGGTCATGTCCCAGCCATTCACCTGGCCCAAGGAGAAAATAGAGCCTCCCTCAGTTCTCTGCCCTCTCAGATCTGGAAGCAGGTTAGGTTTGGGGGCCCTGGGTCACCCAAGCAGGCTCCCAAGGCTGATGTCTCTGGGCTGGGGGGATAGTCAAGCACCACAGCTGAGGCCAACAGAGGAGAGAGCCAGCTTCCTCTGGGGGCAACACCAGCAGGGGCTCCCAACAGTCTCAGTGAGTCTCCCAGGTGCCCCAGGAAGCAGGAGCAGCCCCCAACCCAAGTGCTTCAGACTCCATGGCCCAAGCCTTGTTTTCCTCTTTTGGGACATGTGTTACCTGCATAATCTTGTCTCCAATCTGCAGCCCAGCAATTTCAGCAGGGCCTCCTTCAGATACCCGTGTGACATAAATGCCCTGGAAAGAGACAGCCCAGGTCATTAGACTGGCCCCTTATCCAGAAAACAAAGCCCAGCATGGCAAACCCCCAGCATACTCCACACACGCCTGCCCCCCCGTACAGGCTGCCCCAAGACAGCCAAAGGGAAGTAGGGCCGCCCCACCACGCCTTCCTGCTGGCCACTCCTGTTCCTCCTGGACTCCAAGTGAGCCTTCCTAGGCCTGGGAGGTCCACTCCCCCACCCCCATCCCTATGTATCCCCATCGGATCATTTCTTAAACCTTCTTAGGAAGGACTATTTGAAAGACAGAGGTCTGCTCATTCCATGAAGGCCCTAGAAGCAGAAACCCACCATCTCAGGTCTCTGTGCCCAACGGAGAGATCCCAGGACCCTGGTCTCCCTCACCTTATCTGTCTTATCTTCTGAGAAAGGATTCTGGGAGGGATCCTGGTCAATTCCACCTCCAATGCTGAAGCCCAGGATTAAGTTCTCACCTTGACGCAGCTTGTGAATTTCAACTCTTTGCTGGCAAAGGAAAACACAAGTTGGGGGCAGGTAGATGTGTGTGGACAATGAACCTGGTCTGTGTCCAGCAGTAGCCCCAGGCTGCTGGGCTGGTCAGAGCCATGCCAAGGGGGTGGGGCCCAGGGCCTCTGCAGGATTCTAGCTAGTCACCAGCCTGGGAGATGGGGGTGAGACTCAGAACTCAGCCACAACCCACCTACACAACCTGGCCTAGCCTCTTCCCCCTTCCTGTTAGTCTCAAGCACGAACCTTAGTCCACATGTACTCTAAGCCCCTCCTGACCCAAGAGCCAGAATCCTATGGCTGCTAAGGATGGGAGGCTGTGTCCCAGGGGAAGGACCACACAGGACAGAAGGGGTCAGGCCCTGGGGGAAACAATGCAGGTACCTTGCTGAGGCAGCTCATTGCTGAGCCAGCCCTATCAAGGGCAAGACTGGAGATGCTCCGGAAAAGCAGAGAAGTTCAAACTTGCACAGAAAGGAGAGAAAGGGCTGTCCTGGCCAAGGGACAGGAGCATAGGCTTGAAAGTGGTATGGATACATGTCCGTGAGATGAGTGTACAGCACAAGTCTGGAACTGGGTGGTGAGGTAAGGCTGGAGCCCAAGAGGCTAGCCCTGAAGGACGGCATTTCTCCTTAAGCCCCAGACCTTGCTCTTAGTGCAGTGTAGGAGGCAAAAGAGGGTTCTAGGGCTCTCCCACCATACTCTGGGGCTGTGGTCCCCAAACTGCCAACCTCCCTTCATAGCCCTGAGCAGGCCCTCTCCAATCACCAGGTGGTAGGGGGTGGACAAGACCACTGCCCCCCACCTTGCCACCCTGGCCCAAAGTTGAGTTTCAGCAGAAAAAAGAAAAAAAAGGTGACTTGATCTGGACCCGAAGAGCTTCACAGAGGGATCATTTGCAGCAGGTCTTGAAGGAGTAACAGGAGTTTGGACACCTGATTTTGATTCTGGGCCCACGATGGCTCCTAGGAGTAAGGTTGGTCATGGTCAGGTGTGAGGCTAGAATGACCACTTGGGCAGTCAGGAGGGGGACCGGAGGTCTCCCAGAGGTGGGATGTGGAGGCCAGGGAACATGACTACTTGGAAAGAGGTCAGCAGACTTGAGGACTGCCCCTGGTGGAGAGGAGTCCAGGGAAGCACGCAGCCACCTGGCCTGCCGAACACAACCATCTCCGAGCTGGTGACAATGAAGAGGCATTGTGGAGTGCCAGGAGCTACCCAGGCAAGTGTCCGGAAGGCAGCTGGACCTACAGAGCCAGAGTTCAGAGAAGCCAAAATGGTTTTAACATTCTCAAGCTGTTACCTACATGGGACAGGCAGGAACCAGGAAGGAAGCCTCCTCTACCCCTTCCCCAGTCCAAAACATAAGAGGGAGAGGCCAGACCCCACCCACCAGGTCCAGACATGTTCCTAGTGTGGACAAGAATTGGGATGTCATGGTCTTACAATTTCGAGAAGGCCTGAGGACCTGTCAGGATAAGAGAGAGGGGAAACAGGAAGTGTGACCAGGCCCACTAGACCTAGGTCCTTATGCCCAAAAGTGTGAGCTCCTCCAGGCTTGCTCCCCCTCCTCCAACACACACCTTTGCACACCATTGACCCACCCTCAAGGTCTGAAGGGAGTACAGGCCCTTGGGCTGGAAGACAAGGCCCTGTCACTGACTCACCGGGTGATGTCAGGCAGGTTACTGCCCCTTTCTGGTGCCTCCCTATACCCCCCCCCTTTTTTTTTTTCCATCTAAGAAGCAAACCTGGCCCCTTCTCTCTGAGGCAGCTAGAGATCTAGAAAACCAAGGTCGGCGCAGCCGGGGTGAAGCTTAGGACAACTGTCCGCAGGTCCAGAAATGTACTTGTCCAGGCCACAGCTGGTTCTCTAAACTCAAACTCACATGCCCCCTTTATCAGCAGCTTCACACCCTGCCAACTTCTGACTGCAGGAGCTCTCTGGTACGCCCATCTGAGATTCTGCAGCAAGTCCCATGGCCTCAGAACTGGGACTTCCATCTGACCCAACCAATGCCTGCCCCGCAGGCATTTCTTCCAGAGATCTGGGTTCTTCCTGAGGACTTCCTTTAGTCAAGTCTAGACGTGACTAGACTTGTCTCTGGGACTCAGTTTCCCCACCTCCACCTTGGAGTTTGCCTCCTCCAGGCTCCATTCAGCTTTGGCACCGGCTTCTGAGTCTAATGTCCCAGGCTCCCTTCTTCCCTCTGCCTAGTCTAACAGCATCTGGCACCCAAGACAAGCCAATGAGGGGAGGCAGGGGCCTGAGCTAGTCCCAAGTGCCAGGCGAGGAACCTGGACTTTGTCCCAAGGGCTGGGGATCCGGGGAAAGTTTGGAGTAGGTGCGAACCAGTTGCATGAGCGGGCGGCGGAGGGTCCGACCAAGCAAGCCTGGATGGGGGGGATACGGGGCTGCTACTCAGGCTCCGGCCATCTCCACCCCCCCAAGTTTCCCTCTGGGCGGCAGAGGCGGCTGCAGCCGAGGAAGCACTTCCTCATTCCAGAGGCCGCGACTCACGGACGTCGGCCGGGTGCCCGCCCCCCGCGGCTGCTCAGCTGGGGACTTAGGCCCGGGAAGGGGGCGCTCTCCCGGTACTCCCACAGCTGGGGACTTTCTCCTCAGTCCTTCCCGCAGAAAAGAGTCCGACGCAGCGGCGGTAGTGTGCGGGGTCCGGCCTCGGTTCAGGGTCTTCAGGAGGTGCTTGGGTCCCAGCCATCTCTGTTGCCTGGCTAGGAAAGACCGGAGCCCTGGCCGCCGGCGTGCAAAAGCCCTGGGTTCAACGCTCTGTCAACCTGTCTGGCGTGTCAGTTTACCTATCTGCAAAGTGGGGACAAGCCAAGACGAGGAGGAGCCCGCGAGCGCACTCACCACCACAGCGGTGACCGGCTGGCCGGGGATGTAGGACATCTCGACCGCAGTCTGGTAACCAAGCACAGCTCCGTGAAAGCTGCAGCGAAAATCCCAGCGGCCGCGCCCTCCCTGGTTAACAAAGGCAACCCGACTCGGCCCGCCCCCTCATGAATAGTTAACAAATCCCCAGCCAGTCACCGGTCGGAGCGCCGTTCAGCTTTCGGAAGTCCCCGTGCGTGCGTAGAAGGTCGGGGAGGGGGTGGAGCGTGCTCTGGGAGCCCGCCGCGTACGCGTCAGGGGGCGGGAGCGAGGATTTTTGGCGCATGCGCCACCCGGGTCCTCCCAGCAACCTCCAGCGCAAGATGGCGTCGGGAGGCTGTCTCCCGCTGGCCGTCTGAGGGAGCGGCAAGTGCCTGTATCCGCCGCCGTGTTGCAGGTAACTGGGCGAAACTGCGCAGGGCCGGTCTGAACCCTCAGCCTCCTCTGCGTCTGTCGAAGGTCGGAGATCCGGGGGTGGTGCGAGGTCTGGGAAGTCCCGGGGGGGGAGGGGCGGCGTGAGCGCCACTCGCCGGGCTCCGGGGGCCACTTGTAACTTGGTTTCCTCCGCAGCTCCGCGAGAAGGCAGAGGCTGGGCCCCGGCGGGTGCGATGGCCGCTGTGGTGGCCAAGCGGGAAGGGCCGCCGTTCATCAGCGAGGCAGCCGTGCGAGGCAACGCCGCCGTCCTGGATTACTGCCGGACCTCGGTGTCAGCGCTGTCGGGGGCCACGGCCGGCATCCTGGGCCTCACCGGCCTCTACGGCTTCATCTTCTACCTGCTTGCCTCCGTCCTGCTCTCCTTGCTCCTCATTCTCAAAGCGGGAAGGCGGTGGAACAAATACTTTAAATCACGAAGACCCCTCTTTACAGGAGGTCTCATCGGAGGCCTCTTCACCTACGTCCTGTTTTGGACCTTCCTCTATGGCATGGTGCACGTCTACTGAAGGGGGGCAGGGATGACTTTTTTTAAAAACCAGGTTGGGAGGACTGTCGCCGGGATTTAACACCGTGTAAACTTAGTTTTTAAATTGTTGAATTCGCTGCTTGTTCTGTAACGTTGTAACTTATATCTGAAGACGAAGAGCCTGTAATATTCTTCAGATTAAATGAAGCGTGAGACACTTCGTGGAGTTTTTTCCTACCCTATAACACATACCGCATATGTGCCGTGGGTGCAAAATTGCCCATGTTTTGGCTCCTAGAGAGCTGGGAGCGGCTTCTGTAATTTCCTTGCATTTACACATAGCCCCCCCGCGAGAGGGCCCGTAGGGCCTAAGTAGAAAGAGAACTTATTGTTAATATCCTAAGAACTAATGACAGTTGATATTTATTAAGCGTTTTCTATATGCGAAGCATTGTGCCTTGTACCTTTTACACCCATTATCTCATTTAATTCTAGCAATATCCATCTGGGGTAGATACGTTATCCCTCATCGATGAAGCTGAGGCTCAGGTTAAATACACCTCAGCCGGAAGAGGCACAGCTAGAAAGAGGCAGAGCCAGATTTCGAATACAGGTCTTTTCATTGCTCTTGGCTGTACTGGCTGAGTGTACCTTTTCCAATTCCAGCCTTCCCTCCCAGTGACCACTGCTTTCAAGTATGAATGGTGCCATTTTAGTTCCATTTCATCTAGTTACATCTGGCTGTCATTTCCATGTTAAATAAGTTCAAGCTCTTTTCTAGAATATGTTTAATGGAGATTAAACAGATGACATTTAAGCTAAACTTTGGGCTTGTTTAGAGTGTAATGCTTCTGTCTATGCTAATCTGTGATCCCTTCTTGTTGGGGTGGGGGGGTTTACCCCAGAATAAAGTGCATATATTTAATTGAGAAATATGTATTGCATTGTAGTTATAGTAACGAACATGTTGCTCAAGGAATTTATAGTCTAACTAGGAAGACCGGTATTACCTAAGTTCACAAATATTTAAATTATGGTAAGTGCCGTGAAGAAAATGCGTAGGAGCCCCACACTGAGCTCAGGTTGGGGAATGGGGATCAAGAAAGTCTTGACGAGGGGCGCCTGGGTGGCTTAGTCGGTTAAGCGTCCGACTTTCAACTTGGGTCATGATCTCGCAGTTCGTGGGTTCGAGCCCCGCGTCGGGCTCTGTGCTGACTGCCAGCTTAGAGCCTGGAGCCTGTTTCAGTCTGTGACTCCCTCTCTCTCTGACCCTCCCCTGCTCACGCTGTCTCTCTCTCTCTCTCTCTCTCTCCTAGAAATAAATAAAAAAAACATTAAAAAAAAAAAAAAGAAAGTCTTGACGAGATAACATTACATTTGACACCTCAAGGTTGAACAAAGTGTGAAGAACGGGCTACTTGCAAGAAAGCACATGGAGAAGGGGGTTTGGCACGTATCTGGAGAGTTAAGAGAAGAGGCCAGGACCAGGACCTGGAAGGCCACGGTGGGGATTTTGGCCTTGATCTTAAAAGCAGTTGGGGGAAGCCTTTGGAAGTTTTAGCCAGGAGTGATGTGATCACATTTGGATTTTTAAAAAAGGATCAGCTTTAGATCAGAGGAGGAGCTGAGAGCTTGAATCCAAGTCCTCTTTTACACATGGTACGTGGTCTGTGGCCAATAGCAGAAATGGATCGGGGACCCAGGCCTCCTGAATCCCATTTGGGATTCTGGACCACATGCTTGCACACGAAGGGGGAAGTGGGGGTGAGGCCACAGCTTTGCCTCTCTCTGCCGATGACCTCTAAACCCTTTCTCAGACCACCACTGAAGAGGCTCACCTTCATGGTTTGCACACTCCCCCTTCCCAACCTCCCCTGTCCCCTCACGGCCTTCTCTGAGTGGAAAGGGAAGGTTCTCTCCTGATGTGGAGTAAAGAGAAAGTCCTAC